GTAATTTACGCGGACGCGGCGAACTTCTCCGGGGGGGGGAATAGCAATTACGAACTTTCTTGATCATCGCGTCTTTCGATCGCATCAGCGAAAATTTTCGTACCGGGTTCCCGGTTCCTGTCACACAATGCTATTTAATTGGCTAAAAAGGTACGAGAACCGATAGTCGCGTTAGAAATCCCGAAACGCTCGCGTTGTTTATCGCCTAACCGATCCGGAAATTCACCGTTCGCGCTAACGAGCATACACAATAAACCTGGTCATGCAAAATGCAGGATAACGTACAAAATGGCCGCCATGGACAGATAAGAATTCATTTCTGAATACATAGTCGAAGATCTCTTTGAAATTCAAACTTTTTCCGAATCTAGAGGCGGCCATTTTGTATTTTTTACAAATTATTTTAACATCGTTGACAGTCATGTTCATGTAGATTTAAAATAATATACATATCTTGCGTGTGTTTTTCTAAGCTTAATACTCCATTGAAACTCGTTATATTAAAATACAGTTTTTCTTTTAATTAGTGTATAGAGGGTGGGGAGACCTGAACGTAGGATGATTCTACATGCAATAACAGATCAAAAAGATGGTATAGAATTTTTTGATTCGAGCCTCAGTTTTGGAGATAATTGAATTTGAAGATTTCATATCTGGCATGTCTGACCATCGATCTGTTTTTCTACTTGCGTTGCAGTTCAAGCCTCCCAGCGTTGTTTAAATGTAATAATGTACATCGTTTAGATATCAGTGAATCAGGATACCAGAATTCCCTGTAATTTAGCATTCTATCGCCCAATAAATCAGAACCCTTCGATGAATACCTTGATAATTGGATCGCTACAGTTCATTTAGGGACACGTCGAGGAAACTGTTTACCAGGGACCATTTGCTAATATAGAAGACCTCCACGACCGCATTGTGGCTGGTGTCAGACGATTCGAAACGCGCCAGGAATTTTCGAACCTGTTCGACGATCAATGAGACGCCGCTCGTCTCAAAGAACCTGTTCGATTACCGGAGTATGCAAGTTTAAGGAGCCATGGCACTCGACAGAAGCATTTAGAAAGTGAATTTTTCCTTGTACGGTAACAGAAATTCGAGCAATATTTCCATGCATAAAAGGAAATAGTAAAATTCGACCTGACTCCACGAAAAATCCTTTGGCGAGACATCAAAAAGTCAAAGTCCATCGGACAGTTACGGTCATCCCGTCATACTATGTAGTTTCGAGAAGAAAGCTGTTAAAGTTCCATCTACTCGAACCCGTGTTGGTTATACTTGCTCCCTTTATGTGCCATACTCTTCAAAACCTTCGTAACTTTTACAATTTTTCGAATTCCCTCCGGAAACAGTGCACTCTGTGGACTCTCCGGAACTATCGATAAAAAATTCGCTCGATTCTTTCGTTCAGGAATTCTATAAACTAATCTAGAATTATCTAAACGTGAAGTGACATTCGAGGAACTCTGATAATAATAATAATCGATACTTAATAATAGAAACAATTTCGTTTATAGACAATCGAAGTTTTTAAAGTTCGACTTCGGGAAAGGCGATTCCTCGAGAGTCCTGACGTGGTTAAGAACGCCATTTTATCGGTTGAAAGCGGGGGTGGTTTCGAGGGGGAGGGGGGCATCGTCGCCTCGAAGCCACCGTTTTGGCCGTTTCCGTGCCCTATTATCTCGGTAATTAGCGGCCGATGAACATTTCCGATAGCGCAAAATCTGCTTGTAATTGGATAAGGACCACGACCTCGTTATTTCTAGGCCGCGGCTGGCACGGACAAACACGAGGCGCGAAAATAATGAACGGCAAACAGAAAGACGTAAAACACCACGAGGAGGGGTGGGGTTATGGACTCGCTATGGAATCGTGCGTCGATACGTTTGCGTGCACGCAAAAATAATTTCAACGGTTATAGGCCAACACCCGCTTAAGTGTCATACATTCTACCCGGTTACATGCAACGTCGCTTCTGTTTAACGACTTACAGCTAAGATTCTTACTGTTAACATTTGTATTATGTACTAAACTAATATGTAGACTACGGATATTTAATTATTTAGGGGATGAAACCACCCTCTGCAAAATTCTATTAATAAAAGCATGAGTTTGCATAAAAATCCACAGCAAAAAGAAAGATGTAAAATACCCGGAGAGGGGTAGATTATGGACTCGTGCGTCGATACGTTTGCGTGCACGCAAATAATTTCAACGGTGATGCGCCAGTCCGCTTAAGTGTAATACATTTTACCCGGTTACATGTAACGTCGCTTCTGTTTAACGATTTACAGCTAAGATTCTTACTGTTAACATCTGCATTATCTGACTAAACTAATATGTAGACAAATATTTAACAAATTATTTGAGGGATGAAACAACCCCCTGGAAAATTCTATGAATAAAAACACAAGTTTGCAGAAAGATCCGCAGTCAAATGGATACAAAATCGCAACAAGAACCGTGTCAGAGTGTTGAGAAAAGTAATATTTCTACAAAGAATGATCCATCGTTTGCATCGTTCGTAAAACGGTTGTTTCAAAGAAAGTGGCTCTTTCTCGTTACGCAAACAATCGAGGCTCGATTCCGTTGAACGTAAACAGGGATTACGATTCTAATCGGGCGAGCATCCATGAAACGACGAGTCACGGACACGACGGACGAACGGAATACGCAACTCCGTCGTGGGGGGGGATCGATAGGATCGACGCTAACGTTACCGGCGCGGCGTTCCCTCGATCCAGAAAGAACGGTGGGAGGAGAAAAAGGGGGATTCTTCGCACTTAATGACCCGTGCGGTTATTCCACGTACTCGAACGCTTTCTTACATCATTTACACGCCACCGGGGAAATAAACTCTTTACAAGTTCCCGAGCGGCCGGGGTCCGATTTCTCGGTACGGCGAAATCTCCTTCGAACCGGTCGTTTGAAGGAGTTCAAGTCTCTCATTCATCGAGAGCCTCTTTTCAATCGTCTTCCTCCCCCTCCTTCGAGTTCTTCGTTTTTTTTTTTTATACGCTGGCCGATGGGAAATATTCCACCGCGATTTTATAATGATCGACGGGTGGCTCGTTTCCTTCGGTAATTATCGCGTTGCAAATTAAGGAGTTCCTTTCGAGCCACAATACAAATAATAATAACCAGACTGCGGATCTTTACGCAAATTCACATTTTTATTAATAGAATTAATGAAATAATTCGTATTATATTTTTGCATATTAAACGCATTCTGTTTTTTCAGTTTTTTCAGGATTAAAATTTCCCATAAATGCATAAACATCCGTCAGTCTAATAACAACAAAGTAAAGAAAAATTACAGAATTTCACGAAGCCACGTTTCAGTTGATTTTTAGTGGAAATTGGGTAGACACGTGGCCGGACAACTTCGAGGCGTAACAACTTTATGGCCTGAATTAGAATCGACGTGAAAGGCAGCTCGAAACGCGAGTACATGTCCTGAAGACGAGGCCATGTTTCGCCGGGAGCCAGCAGATATCGAGTTTGAATTGAAACGCGGGATGATAAGTATTTAAGCGGCTAAAATGAGGAAAGGAAGAGATCGAATTCGAGAGAAACGGGTGTTATCGATACGAGAAGGCAAATATGTGTGGCTGCTTTTATTCGCGATAGTCTGCTAAATGATTCACCATCGGGAGCGTCACCTTCGTTAAAAGCGATAAATTATAGAAAAGCTGCCGCTTAAGCTCCCGTTGGTGAGCAAACAAGGGGGCGGAGCTTGCAAACGTTATGGGACTCGTAGAAATTCTTCCCGGCGGTTCGTGTCTTACTTGTTCGCCTAACTCGATCGGTTCTCGCCTCTTTGGAGGTTTCAAATATTTTTCAGAGGACATTATTCGCATCGCAAAGTAATTGAAAATAACAGTGACTCGATTAATAAACCCTGACTTTAATAAAATATATTTCGTTAGCTTTGACCGATCGAATTTGTTGTTTCTCGATAAGACTAATTACAAAATATATAATGAAAGAGACGTGTGTTTCGTATTAATTAAAATCGCCGTATAATGAACCGGACACTTTGATTCGCGTTTTCAAAAGCGTACTACGAAATAACTTTCCATCGAAAATAATTCCTCGAATTAAGGGGAGCGATACTGTTTCATCCAGGATGGTTGGAAACGATATTGCTCGCCACGGTTATTATTATCTTTAATTGGTCTTTTATCAACATTCGATATTCTCCGTATGCTTCACGGAAACTCTATTTCGTCTCACGCGGAGGGAAGTGTTTTCCCATTAATTTCTGGCCATTCGGTTTATTTTTGTACCATTTCGGATTTATTCTGGGCTACTCTGTCCTAATTAATTCATTATATCAGGTTTCATTTATTTCTGACTGTATTTATCAACAAGATACTAATATTTTTTTATCTTGTATCCTCGACTTAATTTAATTGCAAAATTTTAAACAAAATATCCAAGTAAAATTCTACTACAATTTCTTAAACATATAAACATAGTTCATTTAATTTAACTTAATCTCTGTATCTAGCGTACCTTATATTTCTATGTTAAACGTATAAAATTTATTCATTTTATATAACCTGATGCTATATCAAACGTTTGTAAGGTATTGTGGTTGCTAATGGCCCTAATGGGTTGATGCAACAGTAAAAAAAAAAAAAAAATTCTATTTTTCTAGCAATTATAAAATAAAAGACGATTCACCCGGCAATAAACCTTGGCTCCGATTACAAGCAATAAAAATACCAATTAAAAATTAATCTCCGGACAAGCAATGAAACGCACGAAGGCTGTCCTAATCGCAGAAAGCACGCAATAAGTATAAAATCTTTAATCCGCTCCGCTCGTTATTTCCCTAAAACCGTACGATTTCTACGTGGCTGGAAAACAGTCACTAAAAAACACCTCGTTACGCTAGCACGCGACGAAACGACAGAGCAAAACCTGTATTCCAGCGCTACGTGTGACGCGAGACGATGCCTGAGACGATAAATTTCTAAAATTCATTGCAGTGTCGTTTTACGGGGCGAGCTACATTCATCTTCCGGTCCAGGAAGCCAAGGGTGCGACCGACATCAGCTTCCGGTTCCGAACTCATCTCGCGGACGCTATGCTGCTATTGGCCGCCGGCAAGACGGATTACTGCCTGATCAAACTCGAAGCCGGCAGATTGAAGGTTCGTTTGCCCTCAATGCTTGCTTCTATTAATAGGCTGTCCGTTTTGGGGACCGCGGATTGGTCGTTAACCAACCGCACGTGCTACGACGCACGAATGTCAGACTCCAACGTTACACCTAAGTAATGGGATCGAGCGCAAACGTGCTCGACACACAATCTCAGAACCGCAATAATCCCTCGCTGGTTGACTAAAAATCCACCCTCGGTTGATGCAAATCGCGCAGGAGCACCCTAAGTGGGGACTAACTGTATCTCTAAAACGGTTACATGTACAAAGAAAAATCGTCGAACTTAATTAAATTACAGAGAAATTAAAGGATTAGAAACTTAAGGAGCTTTTCTACCTTGTGGAATTTAAAAACTTAAATTTTTTTTTTTTGCTTTTTCTTTTAATATGTAGTCTCGAAAATATATCTAGTAAATATTAAATTGAAATTTGAAAAACTAACGAATTTATAGCCCGCAAAGAATCACAAACATGTATTTTTCGTGCCCACAAGGTAGAATGGCCCCTTAATACAAATCACGCAGACCACGAATCCCTAACGCAGGAGCACCCTAAATGGGGGTTAACAGTATCTCTAAAACGGTTACATATATAAAAAAAAAAATCGTCGAACTTAATAATCTAAATTACAGAGTGGATTAGAAACTTAATATTTTCCAACGACATTTTCTTAGTTAGTTTAGTATGTAGACTAGGATCCTTAAATATTTCCACGCGTTTCTGGACCACTCCGCGTCCGTACATAACTGAGATAATATAAACACCGTCGCGAGATAACGGAGTGGACTGTAATACAATACGAAGACGATAAGAGGAATGGAACGAGGATTCCAAGAGATTCTAGTCGCGGAAGAATTCCGCGCGGCACGCAAACCCGCGGAACGAATTTCGGTGTAAAAATAAATAAAAAAATGCGGAATTAAATTTGCCCGGGGCGGAACTTCGTTTTCGAGGAAATCGATTTCGGAAATGGCCGCGTCGCGCGATCGAGGACAACTTGGATAACGTGTCCGTCCAGAACTCGTTATTTCTGCTTGCGTGTCGGGGTTCACGAAACATTCGAGTTAGGTAAAATCGAAGACACGAGACGCGACTTTTGGTCCATAAATCGCCTGGCACTTAAAAACGAATCGACGTTAGAAAATTACCTGGACTGCCTTTATAATTCAAGCTTAAAAATTTTATTAGTTTACTGCTTTTTAAATTGTACACGAGGGCAGATTCGTGCACACGCGTGTTATAGATTACACGTTACGGTAATAAGAAAATTACACGCTCGTCTGGAATTTGCATTTTCCAAACGGAACGGCCAAGTGTCCGGTGACTTATGGACGCCCGGGTGTGGGTTTCGTGCGAGAAACATAATCCTTGCTTTGTGTATAATACGTGCAATAGTCCGAATAATTACGACCTGTGCCGTATGTGTGATATCGTAGCCGGAACCGTACCCAGGAGACGTTCCCGCAGACTCCATAATTTTTCGAATGCAAATTTTTACGCTATCAAATATTGCTCCACCGACTCCGTTAAGCTTATAAAAACATTCGTAACAAATTTATAGAAAATACAGTTTATTTTTTTTTTATTTATCAAGGACGACAGTTGGAGAGGGTGGTGTCGAACTCGATCCCTACTTACCCTCCCCGTCAGCTGTCCTTGCTAAGAAATTAGAGTCGCTTTGATGCGTGAAAGGAGGGCGAGCAACGGCGGTTAAAGCACGCGACAACGAGTGGCATAAAAAAAACGGGACGATTTACGCGCGCGCACACACACGGAACGACTGCGTTCTCCGCGCGGGCGTTTTATAACTTCGATAAAAACCGTGTCTTGATTTTAACAACGTCACGCCGCTGCCGCCCGTTTTATTCGAGCCATTAAAACCCCGCGAGTAAAAGCGTCTTATTTATGTGGGCCGATGCTCGCTGGCGAACCGTGGCGAAAGGTTGATCGATGCGTTTCATTTTACTAGAAGTCGAGTTTATCGAGAGCGGAACGGTAGACGTAACGAAAATTGTTTTCCTTTTGTTTTCATCGTCTGTTTGTTTCGGTGAATTAAAACCGGTCATAAAACTCGTTTCGCGCGATGTTAACGCCTCCCTTTGATTTCGCTGGAGCCAATCTCGCGGCATCAAGTTCTCTCGTAAATCACCCGCCCGACCGACGAAGCGTCGAGCCAATAATGAGTTTCGACGTAAACGTTATAAAATAAACGGCCACGATATTTATTGTCGCTTGGTTTTTTTCGGGCCAAAAGTTCCTATCTTGTTCGACGCGCGCTTGGAAGCGTCGGGGAAAACAAGAAAATGACAAAGCAGAGCTAAAGTAAAATTTTAATATCAGAAAAAGAGACTCGAGCTTCAAGCTTTATCATTTTCTTGCTTCTTTTTTTAAAAAATACAGCGTTTATTGTCCGTGGACGTTTCGGGACGAGCAATTTTGACAACCAATATTTTTGATCGAATTAAACTGGACGCGTTCAAATTTAACTTTCGCGGGAGCGCGCGAAATAAAACATTGTAATTTACGTTGGACGGTCGTGGAATCGAAAACTTTTTCGCTCGACCGACACCACCGTGAAAAATGTACTCCGCGTTCATTTGCCATTCGCGCGTTGAAACACGATTGACAGTCGCTCGTCAAACACCGGCGAGAATCGGGACAACAGCGATACCGATGAAATCGAATAAACTCGCGATCTCTGACTGGGTGCATCGCCACGTCCCCGAATCTCGAGATATACAGCTTCCGGTTTTAACAAAGGGAAGTTGCGTATTGTTCTCGAGAGTGCATTTAGACTCTGTTCGCTCGAGGAAAGGGGGAACCAGCGATCCGACCATCGAGAATTTTATATAGGAACTCAGCGATCGTTTCTACTTCTGCGGTTGTAATTATTATATTAAAAGTACCACGCCATTTGTTATTGGAAACTATGCTAATAACATTACAATTGTTCTTTCGAGTGCTTATAGAATAATATTAATGCAAGGAAACTGCATTGGTTTCCACGCTATTGAGAATTAATAACTTAATAATATTATTTGTTACTGTGGCGTCACCTCTCATGCTCGCCGCTAGAGGGATTGCGCTCTCACAAGCGCTCGAATTACCCCTCTGGTTGCTATATATATATATATATATATTCTTCAATTGATTTTTCAATATCCCAGTTGTTTAACGTTTTTTAGCAGGCTTTGCTGTAGAAAAATTTTAATGGGGGATTCTAGAAGCCAAAATAAGACGAAAATCAAGAATACCAATTTGTCGATCGAGGCTTCGTTAAAAAGTTATTAATAGTTTCGCCTGTAGAGAGGCAACCTCCGTATAGGCATAATTGTTAATAACTTGTTAACGAAGCCTCGATCAAAAAATTTTTATTCTTGATTCTCGTCTTATTTCGGTCTCTAGAATCCCCCATTAAAATCTTTCCCAAGTTTGACCTAACACTCTGTATATAACAACCAAGGGTCGAGCGCTTGTGAGAACGCGAGCCCTCCGGTGGCGCCACCCTACAACGAATTCAACAGCGAGACGATACAAATCGCAGACCAAGTATTTAAAGCGCGAACTTGCCAGAGAAAAATACAACGTTCCGAGTGAAAAAGGTCGCTTGAAGTCAGCCGCGGTCTGACACAAGAATCCCAGGGATTTAGTGGTCCGACCAAGACCGGAATTACAGTGATTTGAAGCATGTTAAGTCGACCAGAGAAACGTTATGATAATACAGTCCGTTTGGAGATACCAAATAATATTACTTTTGAAGTCCTCTGATCGTGATTAACACTAGATTGCCCAAGGAAGTCATTTCGACTGCTTTTTAATTTCAATTTGAAAAACAATTATTTATATAATGACACAATTTCTTAGAATTTTCTGACTTTTTGTACGACATATAAATGCGTTTATTAATCATTTTAGTTACCTCCCCCCTCCTTCATTTCCGGTATATATATATATATATATGCCTAACCCAGACCTAACCCAGAATATATATACATATATGTATAGGTGTATACTAAGTTTCAGTCTTATAAGTGTAAAAAAAAAAGATTAATTTCGACGCTCGCGGTCGATACGGGGGGGACGAGGAATCGCACGATCGAACGCACAGTCGCGAGTATTTCCCCGTGCATTAACGAGAATGTTATTAACGATCGCCGTGACGTCGTGACGCCGCGACGCGACGCCTCCCCACCCCCCCCGCCCCCTCCCCACGTGTAACGAATATCTCGTCGCGCTGAAATTAAACGGCTCCGCGGAGCGCACTGGTTGCATTACGACGAACAATGATGCACCGGGGACGTAGACGCCCGGAAGGGCCGCTTTGCTCTTAGGTAATAATCGTCGACGAGCTCCGGTTACAAATTACGATTTCGTGAGAAGAATCGGAACGATGGAACGCGGCAAGACCCGCAACGGGATACACAGCTTCATAACGATTAATATAACGGGGGCTCCCACATCCTCCACGACTCGTTAACGGTGATTCCGATGTACTGTGTCTCTCGGTGTCCTCTTCACGGGGTACGACAAAACGGTCCGTGAGTAGCAATAAACCAGCAACATCTGAAATATTAACGCTCATTAGCACACTGTGTTCTTGATGGAATCTCCACCCGCGACATCTTTCTTTCGTCGAAACTGAGAAACAATGAACAAGTCTTTACCAACCGGAAGTCATACCGAGCTTACTAATAATAATTATTTACAAGTATATTATTACAAGTTTGAATAGAATTATAGTTTCTGTGATGTTTGAAAAAATGAAACAAGTCGTTACCAACCGGAAGTCATCCCGAGCTTACTAATAATAATTATTTACAAGTATATTATTACAAGTTTGAATAGAATTATAGTTTCTGTGATGTTTGAAAAAATGAAACAAGTCGTTACCAACCGGAAGTCATACCGAGCTTACTAAAAATAATTATTTACAAGTATATTATTACAAGTTTGAATAGAATTATAGTTTCTGTAATGTTTAGAGAAATGAAACAACTTTCCTCTCCCCGGAAGTATTTCCTTAAAATTGTTGTCGACTAAGGCGTAGGAGGAGAGCATTGTTTACGAGTGGTGTAAATCGATGAACACGAATGTTCTGATATTCCAGCAACGATGGTGTTATGTTCCAGGGTCCATAACGTCAGCGCGATATAACGATACGACGGATTTATTGCCAGATATATAGCACGATTATTTGAAAAAGTTTGAACGGCGGCGCGGAATAAAAACGTTCAACACTGTATTGACGCAACGATCTAAAAATGGAACAAAAACATCGAAAATTGACCGAAGGCGTGTCGAACGAGTTTTTGATCAAATTGAACCGGATCAGATCGATTACGATTATCTATTAGTGGACCCCTGTTACTTTTCTGCTGATTCGAGAACGTTTGATGTTCGAAACATTATTCTGCACGATTGGATTCCGAAGCAGCGACGCGTGCCTCGCAAGATCTCGATATTTCACGTGTGCAGATTGCTCGAAGTTAATCGACCCGTTCGATACGCGCGATCGAAAAGAATGCCAGTGCGCGATAAACCAAGTCGTCGTTCCGGACCACCGGGCAGATGATGTTTTACAAGTTAATCTCGAGAGTGGTCGCGGATCGCACAAAAGCTCAGCGTCTGACTGGCTGGAAGGATGCAACTTCGAGTTTAGGAGCCGAAGGTACCGCTGAAAGGGTCGCAGAAGTCTCTTTGATCCCGCAAAGCGTCTCCCTTACACACCTTCGGAAACCTTCTCCCTTTAATTGCTTTAATACCCCCATTACGTAGTTACAACACTCTCGGTCGTCCATGTTCGATTCCAGAAACTCGGAAAACAACGGGAACGCCATCCTGGAAACTAATTCAAAGGACCAATTGATCTGGTCGCTTTATTAATCCTACCACAGTGTATTTAAATAATTAGTTTTACACTCTGGACAGAATTTTCCAAGATGGCGGCGGTTCCTTGCTTTTGGTACAATTACAGGCTTTTTACATTCGTTTACTAGGCTCAATTCATGATTGCATCTTTCTAAAAACATAGTTTGATCCTTTGCATATACAGAATTTTCCAAGATGGCGGTCGTTCCTTACTTCTAATACAATTAAAGACTATTTACATTCGTTTAACAAGCATAATTCATGATTGTATCTTTCTAAAACCATCATGTGATTCTTGGGACCCCCAAAATTTTCCAAGATGGCGGTGGTTCCTTACTTCTAATACAACTATAGACTGTTTACATTCGTCTAATAGACACGTTTCATGATTGCATCCTTCCAAAAACATAGTTTAACCCTTTCCACCCCCAGAATTTTCCAAGATGGCGGTGGTTCCTTGCTTACGATACTACAACGACATTCTACATTCATTTAACACGCACGCTTCATAAGTATATCTTTCTAAAACTATTTGCACACCAAGTAAAACAATTTTCTAGGTCCTTGAGGATAACTAAAGGGGAAAGATCGAGAGTATCGCGCGTATGTGACTATTTCGGGTTTCTTTCAGTTCCGACCTTGTGGGGGGGGACGGTAATTCGCGTAATCCAGTGTCGTGACGCGGTGCTAAAATACCGTCTAAGTGCATTAGGGGCGTAGGGGAAACGCCGTCTCCCGTTCGGGTAGCACGGATCCAGCGTGAAAACCGCGCGAATCTAATTTCGCAAAGGGCTAAGCCCGCGGACCGGGACGCGGGACGACGGTGTCTGAGCTTAATTAAATTTGTTAAGAAGATCGTTAAGGAGGATGAGAACGGGATAAACGGCCGGGCAAAAAGTGCAATGGAGTCGTTACAGTCTCGTGTGCCTCATCGTCGACGAGCGTTCGCCTCTCGTCGCGGTTCTGCTCGTTTAATGCCTCCTCCGTCTTCGGGATTATTCCCAGATTATTCCGCGAGACACCCGATCGAGCAACGTCGTTCCCTCTAATCGACTACCGCAATTTCGATCGATCTATCAGTTAACCACATCAACGCGTAAACTTGTTACGCTCAACGCAACCGCTAGATATCTGTACTCGCTGTCGTAAAGATCCAAGTGCTCAAATATCATTCCCCACTTCGCTGCCCGTCGAAACGGTTCCCATTCTATCGCGTCGCGTCCGATTTTATCGCCGGTGTCGAAACATTTTGATCGATCGGTGCGGTTTTTCGTCGAAAACTTGACGATGAAACATACGTTCCCGTATCCGTTTTGGGACCATCGGGAAAAAAAAAAACGATGCTTTTTTCGCGACAGGGAATCGAGCAGTCGAATATTCGTCGGTTTTCCAATCGCCCGGTTGCATCGATAATGCACCGGGCACGGTCGACCTTCGGAAACGTATAGATTCGCGTTTACACTCGACGAAGTGTCGTGTCTCCCGCGCTTATACATATTAATGTGGGTGGGTAGGGGGGAGCTTCTGCATAGTCATCGGACATCGCGCTACTACCGGCTGAACTTGCAACTCCGGGGAAAAGCTCGCGCCTTTATTAGGAGGATCGATCGAAAAGCGTCCAGGATGCCCAATCGTGGCCTTCCGTAATTCCCGACGATCGACTTTTCATTAAGATACCGTTCTGTACAAGATCAACCGTGGTGGGTGGATCACGGAAGGTACACGAAGACATCCTGCCCCCCCCCTTGGAACGCTATAAGTCTCTCTGCTCGATTTAGGTCGCGATTAAGGACTCTTTATCGGAGGTTGTCGCTTTGTCCCCCCCCCAACCTAACTCGATAATGCATTGCTCGAACCAGCCTCGTAATGCTTCGAAGACGGCCTGGGTAGAGGTTAAAAAAAAAAATAGAAAAGAGGCATAATCCCCCACCGTTTGCGGCGACCCGCGTGAAAGGGCCGCGGCGTCGGATTAATAAAATGCACCAGCCACTCCTCTCGGTGTCAACTGTTTCTTTTTAACGGTGCCCGGGGGATTAGCGTGGCCGCTTTTCTTCCCGCCCTCCGAGGCAGAATATTTCCCAAGGCCGTTTAAACCTCCCTTAAACAAATGCTGATTTTTATTCTAATTCACTTAGAAGCATTCTCGACGTCTACCTTTTCCCTTCACGCGCGCCACGTTTCACAGAGTTCATCCCCCGTACCCTTTACGAATAGAGCCCCCGGATACGTTCTGGGAGTGTCTGATGCATCGACGGAAAGAACGAAGAAGTAGACGTCGAGATCGACAGGTTTCTTTCGAGTCCAGCTGCACGGAAAATTGCGAAAAATATTACTCGAAGAGCCGAATCTTCTCCGGGGGGGGGAACGTCCCCGTTCGATAAGACGCTGAATTTCGCGACGCCTCGGAAATATGATATCTTTCTCTCCGAACTCGCCGAAAGAATAATCACCTCCGCAGAGAAACTTATCGCCGAGCTCGGAGGCGTTATCGACGCTCTCGAAGTCCCCGGGAACTATTCACCTCGCGGATCCGATAATTTAACACACCTTTTCCCCCAACGATCGACGCCGCGCGCAATAATCGTAACTAGACTGCCAATCTTTATGCATTTATGGAGAATTTTAACACGGAATGCACTTGACATACAAAAATACTTAATTATTATATGGGGTACTCAACCAACCTTGGACAAAATTGTAATGGAAGATTCTAGAGACCAAAATAAGCGAAAAATCAAGAATACAAATTTGTCGATGGAGGCTTCGTTAAGAAGTTATTAACAGTTGCACCTGGAGAATGGCAACTTACGTACTGCGTTCAACCTGCGTAGGTGCAACTCTTAATAACTTTTTAACGAAGCCTCAATTGAGAAATTACTATTCTTGATTTTCGTCTTATTTTGGTCTCTAGAATCTCCCATTAAAATTTTTCCCCACGATTACCTGAACACTCCATATATTAATAGTTAAAAAAATTATTTTGTTAATTCTATCAATAAAAATACGCAGTCTAATCACAATTACTGTTAACATTTCCAAAATTTAAATCTATTGTACATACTGGTTTTTACAATTTTTACAAATTATACATTCGAGGTTTGTTTACTTTTGTTCGCAGGTTCACATAAATTTGGGAGCAGGGGAGAGCGAGATGGCGAGTGCCCATGGTTTGACGCTGAACGATTTGAGCTGGCACAAGGTGAACCTGACCAGAAGGGAGGCTAACATCACGTTGCAGATCGACGTTATACACACGACGAGGTATCTACTGCCGGGACGTTTCTTCGAGCTGAACATACACTACGGCGTCTTCATCGGGGGACAGGGTTACTTCAACGAGCTATTTCTAGGTAAGACGTCCTGGCAGGCTTGACTCACTCGGATAAATCGTCCCGCCACGTGACCGTACTGGCTGAACGAAGCACGCAGATTCGTGTAACGCTTCGGAACGAAATCAGAGCCCTGAGAAAGCTTCGAGTGCCTCGAAACACGTCGCGCTGGGAACAGTCTTTTCATTTGATAACCAAACGGAAACAGAAAATTAATTCCCGCCAATTACCGTCCGTCCGTGCAAAGCGGCGAATTTAAAATTACACGGAAATTCGCGCAGGGAGAGAGCATGTTTTCAGTAGCCCACTCGTAACCACGAAATCGTGTTTAACCCTCTGCCATTTCGACCATTTTTCTCTTATTAATTATACGACCTGTTTTAGGAAAACTCTTTTCCCCGTGATAAAAAAAACCGTTGTACGCTGCGCTTGCATCGTCACTGCCATGCAAAAGAGTTTTCTCTAAAGCCGGGAATGTAATTAATAAAGGAAAGAGAAATAGGTTAAGCGTTACAAGTTTGATATAAGTTTCTGTTACTTCTAAGTCCACTGTTTCTACAAACTACCCCTATTCTATAATTAATCATTTTCCACAGAGTACCAGAATTAGAAATTTCATGACATAAGCATGCAAGCTTGACACAGTGAGCAAGTTGGAAAATTCGTTAAAGCGTATAAGATTTGGCCGGAGTTTTTCGAGGCTAACGAGAGCTTTTCAAAGCGCTTTAAAGCTAACTTTCCATACACTTTGTAGCGAACGCGGACGTGTGTTTAACCCATCGCTAACTATCAGCCGGCCGTAGACGCAAACAAAAACCCCACGTGCATCTAAGCTTCGCTCCTCTCGCCTCTCGTTTTTCTACATCTTGCGCGCTTTGATTCATAACACCGGCGTAACGTGATGTCGTTTGATGTTCGACGAACTTCTTTCGCCATAAGTAACACAGCTGCCATCCAAAGTTTTATTACCCGCTGAAGAATTTCATACTTTTCCGAGCACGGGGTCCATCGATTCCGATAGTTTATAGTCCTTCGCGTTCTCGCAAGAAACGTAACACAGACCGTTGACTTTCTTCAACAGTCGATCCTCCGGTTCCGGGGTTTTCGATCGCCATTTCGGTTACGGTTACGGTTACGGTTTCGGTTTCGGCGCCTTCCGACCGATTTATTATTTCACGCTTTGCTTCCACCGTTGGTACATTCCCATTCGACGGATTATAAGAAAATAACTATTTGGTCGTCCCCTAAATTCCGTGCCATTCGTTATTCTGAAATTGATAAGTCAGATCAGAAGATTCCTAAAGCACTTTCATTATCAACATAATAATATGCATGAAATTTCGGAAAAACATTTTTCTCTGGGAATTATATTTTCGGTAAAAAATTTTTTTTGCGAAACATTCCATGAATGCTCTTAAAGCGGAAAAAATATGAGTCCTGGATCATTCAAATCAATTTCTAATATTAGTTCTGTATCTCAGAGAAGTGGTTAGGGACCAAACTATGACAAAAGTCAAGAATATTGATTTATTGATGGAGATTTCGTTAAGAGGCTGTTGGTGGCTGTTGACGTTCAAAATTCCACTCGTATTGAATTTTTTTCTCGAAAGTGGGTAGGATTTCGGGGGTATGTCTATTGACCAAAAATGATTGTAGTTAACCCCTGCAACCGAACATAATTTTTTCAAAACGATTCCAAACTTTTTAATTTCGCCGAAAAATTAAGGCACCTACCCCCTGTCGAGTTTCCTTTCAAACTTGTTTTTCATTTTTAATAAATTTGTTTGACGCCCTACAGAAAAGTTGTCTAATACTTTTTTGTAGGTACCCATGGGCTCTACTTCCGAAATAAATTTCATTGAAATATATTCACTATTGTAGGAGTTATGGCTGTTTGAAAATTGGACCAGTTTTATGGGGTTTTCCTCAGTTTACGGGGTTAAGAACCAACTTTTCGAATATTTTTACAATTTCTACATATTCTTCGTCAAAATTCGCGTAGTTTGCTTTTTTAAAAATTAAAATCCGCCGATCCGTTCAGAAGTTATGACGTTTTAAAAATTTGCTTGAAATTTCAGTGAAACATCTCAACGGTATGGTCAGACATGAAATTTTCGGTAATGAATTTTTTTCTCGAAAGTGGGTAGGATTTTGGGGGTATGACTATTGACCAAATATAATTGTAATTGATGCCTCTAGCTAAAAATAATTTTTTTAAAATGATTCAAAATTTTTTAAATTCGAAAAATTTCTCCACCTACTCGAATTTTTTTCTAAAAATTGGGTAGGATTTCAGGGGTATGTCTATTCACCAAAAATAATTGTAATTGATGCCTCTAGCTAAAAATAATTTTTTCAAAATGATTCAAAATTTTTTAAATTCGAAAAATTTCTCCACCTACTCGAATTTTTTTCTCGAAAGTGGGTAGGATTTTGGGGGTATGACTATTAACCAAAAATGATTGTAATTGATGCCTCTAGCTAAAAATAATTTTTTCAAAATGATTCAAAACTGATTACCACCTAGGATAGTCACTAGGGACTCGCTAGCATAAAACAACAATCTCCAAGCTAATTATTTGGTGAACAATTTGAAAATATTTGAATACAAACTTAAGGAAGCTTTCCAACAACGATACAAGTGGTTTTACCAAAGAAATATGTTCAAAATATTGCTTTAAGGGACGACCTAATATAAAAGCCTAGTCGCGCACCGGAGCCGACGATTTCACAGGTTTTTCGCCATCGGTACGATAAACCTCGATACGATTTGAATTGAAAACAGAGAAACAATATACGCCCGCGCAGGAGGAATATTTCATCGAGCCATTCGAGAGGAACCGGACGATTCGAGCGTCGGCGCCAAGTACCGGGCGGTGCGTATAAAAAAAATTCATATTCTCGCAAACAGCAAACGGATTACACGGTTGAAACGACCGGAGGCACGCGTTACGCTAACCTGCGCCGGTGCAACAAGAGGCTCGAGAGCACCCGTTTTGTTTTTGTTGTTACGTAACACCCACTCTATTGGCGGGATTTTCTCGCCGTGCAATAGAAACAAAAGGGGACCCCCTCGGTACCGTACACCCGTCGCTACGTTTCGCTTTATTATTCCGGCCCGATGCAATCGAATCTGCGAAAACCTTTAAGTATTTCGATCGCAAAAATCCTATCGCTGGTAAAAAATACAGAATCACCGTTCGAGTAAGCTTTTTCCCCCAGAAAAGGGAGAGGAAGGTTACTCTTCAGCTTCCTCCACCTTTTACAGATTTATCGTTCGACTTCCGTTCATGTATCCTGATCGCCCAATCATCCCCCCCCCCAACGCGATTATCATTCGTCGTTAAACTCGTACCCTGCGATCGCCATCGCCTTCGAGACTAGGATGGAAACTTCCCCCCTCGACAACCTCTTTAAAGAAGAAAATATGGCCACTGGAAATTCACCCTGCTCCCCCGACACGCATTTCCACCCCATGATCTCTCCCTTGGAGCCATAAACCGGTATGGTAATTACAGTTTTTTATGCCCCCCGGGAATGACGAGAACGCTCCTATGAAAAAAACAGAGCCATTCGCGAGATGGTCGAGGGGCGAACAGGGGCTGGAAAAGTATTAAATTATCGCTCGAGCGTGCCCCTGCTTTGTTTCTGATTTATCGGAGCAAATTGTAACTTGTAACAATTAAAAATGAAGTTAAGTTCGACTTGGATCATGGATCAAACGAGCAGGGGGATGCCCCTCGATAATGGACAGTCGGAAGTATTATTTAGCGCGCGTCAGGGTGGATATTTACATCATCTATCATCGCCACTGGTCATCGAAGCAAGATTACCACGGAGAATATTCCGATACAGCGTTAGAACAACGTCGACTGTTGTCCAGGTTCTAAACACCTAATCTCCACAGCCGCTGACAGTTCGATTATTAATCTACTTCGTCGAATCACACGATCGCTTAGAGGGTTGTCGATATAACTACAACTAGCATCTTGGAACCACCCAGCAAGATCCTAATCTTCTAATATAAACACAAACATCGAGCTTCGTTCGCGTCTTTCGCTAATCTCTCAGCTAAGATTACATCTGCATATCGATATCTCGGCTAATTCCTTTGTATCTCGTTAAATATGCACCGAAGGGGGGGGTTTAGTTTGCCCCCTTAAAGCCTACAGTCTTCGAGTTTCGTTCGATTAATGCTGTCGATTCAATTTACGATTCAAACTTTTAAAAAGCTTTCCCACCGATTGCTTCGCTTAATTCCAAAGTTTCTGGGTTTCATCCGCTGTACTTTTTTTTTAATTTAAATTTAAAGTTTCTAATCCCCCCGACTAGAATCGAAGGACTGTATTCTCTGTTCGGTATTTTCTAACCGTATGTTGGATTCCCAGGGCCAAAAAAAATGAATTCTTACCGGTCCGCTTCCTTCCCCGTTCTTTATTTCCCCCGACTCGGGAATTCAGCGAGGGGTTGGAGCGGGCCAGCAGGAATTAATAAGAGCTTCTGCCTTGGCGGGGCCTGGCTGTGTCGTAGCACGGGGTACAAATGAATTGTCATGAATATGTAAATTGAATTTCGAGCTGGTCGCCGAGCGTTGCGCGAGATGCTCGAGGCGGATAACGGCGTGGAAAGGGGAGGGCGTCGCCGTCGCTGCTCTGTGTTTGTACCGATCCTATTCAATTTGGTTCGCGTCACCTCGGCCACCTTCCGATGAATTTTTGCTTTTTATTCATCCCCCTTGGTGGCTCTATCGCGTACGCCCAGAGAAAATTATTGCGAGCTGTTCTACTCGTTTGCCTCGTAAAACAACCGTAATCACGCGTGGGCTTTGATTTCTACCCGCCAAAGTGGTCGTCAGAACCACCCTCCGACAATTTACAATTTCAATTCGTTTTTCATCGATTCGACTTCCGTTTCTGATCTTAGAACTCGAGCATCTCATCGCTAATATTTGTACAATAATTAATTTTCCTATTTTTAAATGTATAGAACAATAGTTTGAGTGTCTCGAGAGGGGTGGTTATTGTGTACAGTATGTTTACGCGTACAATATGCACAGAGAATTTTACATGGACACCCAGACGTGGAGGTAAAACCGTAATCACGCGTGGCTTTGATTTCCACACCCCTAAAGTGCTCAGAGCCACCCCCTGGCAATTTACAATCTCAATTCGCTTTTCATCGATTCGACTTCCGTTTCTGATCTTAGAACTCGAGCATCTCATCGCTAATATTTGTACAATAATTAATACGGTTTCTATTTTTAAACGTATAGAACAATAGTTTGAGTGTCTCGAGAGGGGTGGTTATTGTGTACAGTATGTTTACGCGTACAATATGCACAGAGAATTTTACATGGACACCCAGACGTGGAGGTAAAACCGTAATCACGCGTGGCTTTGATTTCCACACCCCTAAAGTGCTCAGAGCCACCCCCTGGCAATTTACAATCTCAATTCGCTTTTCATCGATTCGACTTCCGTTTCTGATCTTAGAACTCGAGCATCTCATCGCTAATATTTGTACAATAATTAATACGGTTTCTATTTTTAAACGTATAGAACAATAGTTTGAGTGTCTCGAGAGGGGTGGTTATTGTGTACAGTATGTTTACGCGTACAATATGCACAGAGAATTTTACATGGACACCCAGACGTGGAGGTAAAACCGTAATCACGCGTGGCTTTGATTTCCACACCCCTAAAGTGCTCAGAGCCACCCCCTGGCAATTTACAATCTCAATTCGCTTTTCATCGATTCGACTTCCGTTTCTGATCTTAGAACTCGAGCATCTCATCGCTAATATTTGTACAATAATTAATTTTCCTATTTTTAAATGTATAGAATAATAGTTTGAGTGTCTCGAGAGTGAAATGCCTAAGGGTGGTTGTTGCGTACAGTGTGTTTGCGCGTACAATATGCACAGAGAATTTTGCATGGACGCGCAGACGTGGAGGTGCTTGCCTTTGAAATCCCCGGCATAAGTTTCGTTTATCGAGTGACGTTTCCGTGACTACCCGGAAATACAAGAGAATATTCCCATGCTAGACGTGGATTCGATAGCCGGGTGAAATCAATAAAAGTACATACACTGCGAGATGTCGGTGTCAATGTTCTATCAGGGAACGTTCGATCACAGTAACGTTCAAATAAATCGAACGTTACTGAGCGCGGTGACACCGGGAAATTATTTATTTTATGACTTCGTTTCGTGCCCGCGAATATCTCAAACGGCTCCACCGCCCTCGCCTGTCGTTCACGTCGCTCTCGAGACAAACAGTTGTACATTCGGTGGACTACCTTTCGCTATGGAGTACGTTCTTCAAGTTAAATGGAAGAAAAATTGATTTTTTTAGAAAAGACCACCCGTTAGATAAGAGTATAAATAAGTATATTCTTTCTTGGAACGTACTCCAAAGCTCACAAAAAATATAAAATTCCTCTACTTTATGAAATATCTATGGAGTACGTTCTTCAAATTAAGTGGAAGAAAAATTGATTTTTTAGAAAAGACCAACCGTTAGATAAGAGTATAAATAAGTATATTCTTTCTTGGAACGTACTCCAAAGCTCACAAAAGATATAAAATTCCTCTACTTTATGAAATATCTCAACATTGACCGCTTCGGTTTGGTGGATGAGCGATACGAGTACCGAAACCGCGACGAGCCCTTAAAATCTTCCTGGTACCCGGTTGAAGTTTTTGGCTATTTTCCCCGGTGGCCTCGGTCCATTTAGCGGTTATCCGCGGGTATCTTTAGTCGCGCAGGAAAAACCCTCCTCGAAACTTCTCCAATTAATGTAATCGTGGTGCAGGCGGTAGGATCACGTAGAATGCTAGCTGCGGCAGGGTTGCGGGACGAGCGATTCACCGCACTGTGAACGGCTCGGTTTATTGCAATACCGCTTTCCACCCCCTCTTACCACCTGCCGCCGGAAAATATCATCACGATACCCGTAGCCGTAAACACCGCTCGCTTGGCTCCCTTATGCGGCTCGTGTTACCTTGCCGCAGGTGTTCAAGGGGCGTCGTCTTGCACCCTGCCCTCGAAAGAACCGATCCCTCCGGAGGAACGCGACGATAGGGCTCGTTCGAGACCCGCTACACCGGAATCTACTTTACACTATGTGTCGCAAAATGTGGCCCAGACTGGCGATATTTATGCATTTTAATTCTCAAATAGCTATGGAGCACACCTAACGCTTTGACGGCCGTTGTCACGTATGTGTGACTTTGATCATACATTCAACTTATTACGCTTGTTTGAGGTTACATTCATGATTTCTAGCACCTTCGTGTATCTCACTTTGGTCTATCAGTGGCGGCCATTAACACGTTGACTGCCAGTTGTTAGACCCATAATTTCTTATTGAAATTATTTTCAGAAAACCGTTAAAATTCAATACTTCTATCTGGATTTATTTTCTTTGATACTTGATCTTGAAAATTAATTTTTTTAGCTCTTCATTTATCACCATATATGGGTGACCTGGCAGTCGATGTGTTAAAGTGTTAATATGCAATAATATAAGAAATATTTAAAGTAAGATACTCTACAAAGTTCTCGTTAATTCTATTAATAAATATATGAATTTGTATAAAGATAGTCTAATACATAGTTTCCCCAGTAATTATAAACTCAAGTGACCCACCCGTTGCATGATGGAGTATTAAGATCTATCTTAAAAGTAGACTTCCTTCAAGTATCTTCAAAATCTGGAGTTCCTAGAGTCCTTTGATGACCTGAAAATACGAGGATTTGTTTATTGCACTGACAATTATTTATTAGCTAAGAGGCTTTGATATTGAGGGATCATGATTTGGGAAAGTCCAATGCGTCTGCTGAACAAGAGGTCTATAATTGATTGGCTTTTAATGAGACATAAATATGTCTTTGAGTTAATGCTGGGATCAAGCCTTTGATGCACGGGAGAAGAATTGGGCGTGGTTGGACAGAGATTAACGATTGGTTATTTAGCGAAGCTGTGAGGGATGACAAAGTGAAGGAGCGTGTAAAGCGGGTCAAACAAAGGGAAACGCGAGAAGTCGCGAAAAGGGATGAAAATAGGAAAACAGTCTATGTGTTCGGTGCCCTCGATCAGCGTAACCGGATCTGTGAAATCCGCCATTGCAAAACCATAATTGCCTCCTTAAATGGTACCAAAATTCGACTAATAAAGATCTGTGACTTTTTGACACTTTTACACATTTTTAGCTACGCTGATATAGATAAACAATTTGAACAGAGCGTGACACGGTATATTTTGATGGGCAACTCTATAACAGAGGCAACAGACGGCCATTAATGGCCCCACGAGGTATTTTCGGATACGTCAATCACTCTTTCTGCATCGATATTGACAATTTTAATATTTTTCAGAAATAAAAATTTATAAACTCGTCTCAAAGCAGGAAAGACTACGAAGACTATTATTACTCTTTGCTGGGCTTATGGAATATCCTGGCTACTAAGACGTCGAGATTCGTGGTCCCCGAATATAATTACTGGAACGACAGGATGCGTATCTTCCATCGGATCTGATAAATGCACCCTGTCGCTATAGGATCGCGCGAATATCTCCCGTAGATCACGTTGCATAGGTACCAGGAGATTCGATAGCCTACTTCGCTGGTTGGCAGCCTCCGAAACTGAGATTATCTGGCCATCAACCTCGATGCGGTTTGCAACCGACGCTTTCATTGCAGCTCTCTTTCATGAAGATCTCTAGCGCTAAATGATACCTCCGGAACTCGTGCCAAAGTATGCCCACTCATTCCCGCGTTCCAGAGAAAAGGGGGGGGGGCTAAGAATCGTCTGGCTATCGAGTTTAATATCCGCCTGCTTCGTTATTTGCCACCACGTGGAGTCCCTTCCGAGGAAATTCCCAACAGCGACTTCTGAAACTTGAATAAAACTGTTTCTGATATTGTCTCAAACGTGTTCATGCAGAAATTATACAGGATGTTCAGTCATCCGTGGGAAAAATTTTAAAGAATATTAATTTCTCGACTGAGGCTTCGTTAAACAGTTGCACCTCTGGATAGACAACTGTTAATAACTTTTTAACAAAGCCTCTACGAACAAATTGGTATTCTTAATTTTAGTCTTATTTTGGCCCCCAGAATCTCCCATTAAAATTTCCCCCAGGGGTTGTTCATTGTATAGTTTATAAATTTATGTGATTTTGTACTTACATATATATTTTTGTGTGCAAATAAATAAAGAAATTACTTACCGTGTGATCGAATTGAACAACTCTTACAATCATCTTGCACTCAAAACAATTTATACAAATTACGCGTCTCCGGTCTGTTTAATAATTCATTAATTCTCGCGACAATATGTTAAGTATCGTTATTAACTTATCGACCCGGTCATGATAGAGAATGTAACTTCGCAATTAATATTTAATGAATTACTCGCGTCCAGTGATTACATACGGTCCGATTACTTGCTTTAATTAATCGATTAATCGGTAATAATCGTGTATCAATGGCTTGATTGCCCGTTGACCGTAATCGTTAATCGTTAATCGGTTCGCATTTTTCCCCAACGATGGGTTTACAATGGATGGTGCTACGGAGTTTAAATATCCGGCTGCTGAAGTTGTTTACTTGTACAGAATACGCTCATTAATATGCAGATGGAGTGCAAATATATATATATTGATGTGGATCAACTTGAAGGAACTCCAGGTTATTTTTCATGTCTCGTTTACTATACAAATTGAACATAGAATAAATATTAGGCAGTAGCTATCTGAAAGGTGAAATACTTGAAATTTTCTTAACACTTTACCGACCGGTAGCGGTTGATTAATCGGCTATCGGTCGGTAAGCGTTGGCCGGTAAAAAAGTCGATTAATAGGCTATCGGTCGGTAACGTGTTAAAATCTGTGTACACATAGTTAATATGATATATCAGTCTTGTAAGCTAGCAACAGTACGAATATTTAAACTACGTTGCTAATTTTGAAATGACTCACCCCCAACCTCGTGCTAAGCAAACTCCCACAAAACACGTACTGAACACGTTGTACTGCCTACGATAGTAGCTGCTACACGGTGCTGAAAACATATAACATGTTTTAATAACGCTCACAATGGGATGAACCCTGTAACTGGAAAAAATGTAGGGATAAACAGAAGAATGTTCTTCCTGCGTGGCTGACCTGAAACAGAAATTTTGTAATAAGTATCAGGAATACTAAATAAGAATGTTTTATGGTGGTAGGTCACACAGATTACTTACGTGGCTGCATGGCTGACATAATCTACAACGGGGCGAGGGTAATAGAACACGCCAAGTCGAGGAAGGGCCAGTCGCAGGCTACGGCCGTAACGTGGGGCTGTTCTCCGGAATTCGACGCGACGAGGAGCACGGAAGTCAGTTTCGTCGAGGATGGCGCGTTCACGGCGATCCCGAGGCCCATTCCGCGTTCAGGCTCGAGGTACGTACCTAAAGCGCCCTTTCATCGCGTGAATTACACCCGAGCGCGCACCTTGCCTACACCCGACCCCCCACGCCCGGTTGAAAATACCGTTAAGCCTTCCGTACGTAACCGAATTAATTTCATATTCAACCTTCGTCGGTGATAATGGAAGCAAAATTGGTTCCTTCCTAATTACCAATCGATCTTGTTGCTCCGAGTTTGTTAGAATCGAGCATTTGGTACGTTAATACCGTTTGGAACTGGAAATAATTTACCATAAATAATTTCTAGCTAAATTAGAATTTTAGAGTGAACAGAAAATACTTTTGGGACTTACACTTTGCGTCCTTATCTAGCATTCCGGGAGACTTAGTTTAACATACGCCTAGCTAAAACCACTTCAAACAGGTTATCAGTGGTTATCAGTGGCAACGCTAATAACAATATTCTACCTATGTAAACTTAAGCAGTAACACGTAGTAATCAAAGCTAACAGAGGCTAATCGTGACTACGGTTTACACACGATCTATAAATAAATTTTTCGAGACGCGTGCACGAAAGGCATCCGAGACGGTGGCTTTAACGTCACCGCGGCGTTTCTAACAACAAAAGCTCGCGAGAGCGTCGTCAAAGCGAGGCGAAAAGCTCCAAATAACGACCGTAATCGCGTTACGACGCAGACGTCGCTAATAGTTACAACGAGCTCTCATCGTATCCCCCCGACGAAGGCACTTTGGTTCCACTTTTCGGAATAACAAAAGACTTTCAGGCAGGCAGTTCGATTCGCATCGGGAATAACAATGGTAAACCTCTGCCCCCTTTTTGATGGAAAAAAAAAAACGACGTTTGCGGAATTAATTCTATTGAGAACCGTGGCCGTAAAGTGTCTTCCGGACCGAGGCATTGAATAAATATTGAACGACGCACGGGCGCTTTCAGACATCGATCCGCTTGCGCTTGATAATAAATTCATCTGTATACGTGATTTATAAGACGCTTAAGCCCCGCCGTCGCGCGATACGGAGACCGCTTTTCAATCGACCCGATACAGATTTTGACGGCCGTTGTAGTGGTTGAATTTATAATTGCCGGCCTCGCCGGGGAATATTGCACGGGACGAGAAATGGCAGTGGAACGGAGCGCAGAGGAACACCATTTATCCGAACTAATTGGCCTACGCGAGACATTGTACCGTCGAAGCTGAACGGGGGAACCTTTCGATGAAAAATTCAGCTAACAGGATTTATACATCTTACGCGGGGTCTAAAGGGTCGATTAATTGATAGAAGCAGGTACCCTGCGACGAAATATGATGATTCGTAGGGGAAAGTGCGAGTGTATAAACCAACAAACACGTGGGAATGTTTGTCTTCGTTCCCTGGTTCAGCTTTTCTCTCAAAGCACACGCTTAACACACCCGCAAGTGAGCCAATGCATCGAACCGACGCGGCTCGGATGTTTATTCTACTTATACATAGTCTACAAACTGCCAGATAGCCAAATAGAACGTTGGGAATCTCGATTTGCGGTGTAATTTGCCTACGGGGATATCCGTGCCACTGAATTTTCGGTTGATATCATTTTTAACAATATTTACAAAACATATCGGTACATAGTCGTCGATCAAACATATATTAAAACTAAATTATTAACGCTAAATGTAATTTATAATACGCAAACAATGCGAGTACATTTTTTTATACAGATAAAATAGTTTGACAATTATACATAGTAAATGGTTAATTTTAATGCCTTGGAGTGAAATACCTACGTTCTATATATCTCCAAAGTTTCATCGTTTTTTGAATATCCGGGTTGCGTGGACCTTCGCTGGACAACGATGATAATACGTGTGTTTCGAGGCAGGTAATTCGATTCATCGACAATTTACGATCCCCGCACAGTAGTTAGTAAATTCATTCCTGATGGAAATGGACGTGCTGAAATGTTTTCGATAAATCACATTTATAAATACGAATTAATACCAGTACGTGATATAATGAAATACGAGCGCCGGTCGAATTCAAACTGCGCGCCACCTGCAGGTTCGAACTTGTTGCAAACAAAATGGCGTCGGCGATACCGATTTTCGATCTCTTACGCACCAATGTACTAGAAATCAGCGTCGAACGACGCCATTTGTAACCCTCGATATCATAGGAACCCTTTGCGTAAGAATCGAAGCACGACTAACGAAATTACTTCTGTTTACGGTGATTCATACCGCGTGCAAAATCAACGCCGGTCTTTGTCCCCTCGATTCTTAATTCGACCCCCGGCCCGGCGAATAAATGTGTACAGTACCTGTTGCGTGTTCGAAGTCTCCGGTGTCGAAACAATCGCCGAGCAATTCCGTTTTCCTCGAAAATCACCGAACGTCCGAGGGGTTGATGAGCTGGCCAGGGCGCCGGGACGCCATCCACAGCAAACATTCCGCCAGAAACTAAACCGTCGACGTGTCGTTCGGCCAACGGTGGGTGTCCTTAAACGCTCCGACGAGTCCTCTGACCAGGACCGTGTAAACAAGACGTTAATCGCGATCAGATCCAACGACCGAATGCAGTTTTCATCCCCCTTTGCTAGTCCGGTTCAAACTTTTACGCGGTAGCCATTAATTTCGCAATGCACTTTCGTCACTTTCACGGTACATTTCCACCCCCCGTCCGTTCCCGCTTAATTACGCGCGGGGAATGAAAACGGATTCTTTGCAGCCAACTTCGCGCGGATCCCGGCTGAGCCCGATCGACCAATCAGAGAGCTCCTCTCTTCTCTGCCTGGCATAGCAACAGGACCAACGAATTATTGCGAAGATACGAATTTCGATTATCGAATAAAAGGCAATTGCTTACCTGTTATTCGTTGAATCGAAATTTCAATCGCACAATGAATTATTTCAGGATTAAATATATTACTGTAGGTTAATCTTATCGAGTATTTATTATTCGAGTCAAATGTTGATTCGAACATTATTCTTCTATCGAAAAATCGCGTATAATGATTAACGAATATTAAAATAAATAAGCAGCATTAATTAACTAATATTGCTGGAAGGATCTGAAAACATCCCTGGGCAACAATGTTCTGGCAACGAATAGCCTTGATATCCGACCATTGCATAGACATCACTTATTCCATTCATTGATAGATTGGCATATGCTAATTATTGGATATTTACGTAGCTTATGGAATCAACCATTCGTGTCTGTAGACTTTAGTTAATGTTGTAAAGTACTTACATGTTTATTTCCAAGATAAACGTGCTCGGTCCCGGCGTGCAATCTGCAATCTCTGTAACGGTTTTTGCCAACTGCACGAACATGGCCGACCAGAGCCGAGGATACCCGATCTCACGATCTCCAACACTACGAACATTCCCGACCGAAATATAATTATTATAAACCTTCTTATCGCCTTGTAAATAAAACTCAATCGATTCTGAACATTACTTATCGTTTCGTTCTTTTTATAAAACAATTTTAAGATTAAAACAAACTATAATTTCTTATTCGCGCTTCCTTTTAAAACGCCCCTGCCAACAGACAACCCGATGTACACGTATGTCACACTTAATGCAGAGATCTTTTTTTAACGCGATAAATAAATTACTAAGAAACATTAATGAATAATTTTCTGGGAATAAACACTATCAAACAACTCCTACCAGTCGTGCATAAAATTAACAATTTAACTTCCAATAAATATTCCTCGTTAACGATTCCAGAAACAAGCCATAACGAAACATGAATTTAGGTACACAGGGTATTCCAAATATTTATGAAAATTAAATTCTTTACTTTGTACATGGCGGAATATAACCGTCGAATATAGTATCGATAATTTATTGATCTTTTAAACCGGGCCAATGATATTTACTTTCAGGAAAATATCCACGAAAATATTTAACGTTTCAGCCATAAACGAATCTAAAATTAGTATAAACGTAATGTAGATTAAAAGTCATGTTTATTCGCTCTTCTTTATTTTTGAAGCTCCGTGTGTTTGAACTGTTTCGTTCGTTAAATAGGAAAGTTAATTAATATAAATTACGTCATAGCAGCGTTATGATACGTTATATATACGCGGGTGAACGCGTGTAAATCAATTGCGGAGTCACGTTTCGCGCGAAACAGCCGAACTTTCCCAGAAAGATGCAAACGGCCAGGTAATTCTACTCGAACAGTTAAGAAACTCCGAATTCCACTAACGCTCCCTTAACGGTTTAGCGAGTCCATTCAGACTCCGGGAGTCAGAGGCCGAAGAAGTCAACTGCGAAATTCTAACTCGTTCCTGAATGCCCTCGGCGACGTTGTTACAGAATTTTAGCGTTACTCTCCACGACCCCGCTTCTAAATTATTCCTATTAATTACTATTTACCAATTCACGCTCCTGGAACTTGAATCTGCAAACAGAGGAAATGTGTTGTCAGTAACGATTGAGACAATATCGTTGCAAAATAAGATTGAAGAGTTTAGCGTTGCGCATGATACAGTGGTGTGCTAAATATTTATGACAGAGCAACAAGATCACGTAATACGAGACAAAAGAATGCGAAGGAAGGAGTAAAGAGGTCAAGCCTGGCGCAAAATACAGTAATACACTGGCCCGAGGGCCCCGAAATCACCGAAGAAAGTTTAATTGGAGTCGAATAAGAAATTTCTGTCCCGAACAATTTGACGTCTATCGGATAAACAGCTTTTCGACGAAGCGCATTCCCGGTGCATCCAAGTTCGTAGCGCAAGCCGGAAGCCTCGATCGTCCCGGGGTTCGATCCCCAACCTCCCCCCCCCCCCTTCGACTTCCTTCCAATTTTCTCTGACCCGCTTTGCAGATGGGAGTTCGAGCTGAAGACCGGCGCTGAGACTGGTCTGCTTCTCTACAACACCGGGCAATCGTCGTACGCCGATTACCTCGGGATCGAGTTGTTCGAGGGTAAAATTCGGCTTCTGATGAACAAAGGGAACGGACCTACAGAGTTGATACACGACACGCCGGTGGCCGATGGCAAATGGCACAGGGTGGTCGTTGATTTCAATCCGAGCGGAATCGGGATCGCGGTCGACCAGCAGGAAAAAACGATCACGCTGCCGTCCGGCGGAAATCGTTACCTGGACCTTGCGGACACCCTCTACGTGGGCGGCACGGAGCTGAACAAACGCGCCAGAGCGCTGGGCAAAGGTCTGAGGTCCGGCGACGTGAGCTACAAGGGTTGCTTGAGGGACATGCTGCTGGACAAGAAGGAACTCGGTCTGCCCGACGTGAAGATCAGCCAGGGCGTCGTGGTCGGCTGTGTCTGGGGATTCCCGTGCATCGAGCACGATCCCTGCGTTTCCGGGGCGGTTTGCTCCCAGCTGGGCGTCAGCTCGTTCGAGTGCAACTGCGACCAGCCAGTGTGCATCAGGCCGAACCGCGCCGAGGATTACAAGGCAAATCGTTGCTCCAAGACAATCCCTCTCCCCGCTAACAGCATCCGATCAAGCTTAACTTCTCTCTTCTTTACATAGGACACCCTCTTCCAGGGAATTCTGTGAGAATAAAAATTACGGGAATTATTCTATCTGAAAATATTCACAATATTGATTTGTAAAAAATTAAAAAATCAACCCGGATTTATGAAACATTTTCGTGCAAGAGACAATAACATTGACCGTCGAGTCGTGAAATTTAAGCATTTACAATACACACGGTATAAAGTGCCGGGAATTGCGTATTATGTGTAAATGACGGAACGGCGATTCGAAAATTGTTGCCGGGAGGTAGAAAAAGCGTGACAAGCCCGTGTCCAAATGAGCAGAACAGATATCGAATATTTGCCCGTGAATATAGTTCGACGTTTCACCAAACGTTTCATAAATCCAAGCGGAATCGCATCGGGATCCCTGATTTATTGACTCATCGAGTACAACGAGAAAAAGAGTATTCGAACTTGTTTTTTTGCATTCTTTTCGATCATCTCCCTTTTTTTAAGCGTGACTAAATTTATCCTTGACTTTGTTCCAACGTTCGTAGGTTTATTCGAAGGCAAATTTACCCGTGAACCTGGAGATTCTCTCAGTGAGACCGCTGCTGGTATCCGAGGGGGAGCACGTGCTGGTGACGAGCGATAACATTGCCATGGTGTTGGACATAGCTAAATATGGGGTGGAAGAGGACGGTGTTATCTTCACCTTGGTAACGCCACCCACGAATGGAACCCTGTCGCTGGACCACCTAACGACCAGAACCGAAAATGCCTTCACTCTCCAAGACATTAGTCGCGATAAGGTAAAACAGACCACGTGGATCTCTTTATTATTATTCTAGCAATAATAATAGTTGCCTCTATCCTACATCCGTCGTTGGTTAAATCAGTCTCAACGATAGATCACGACGAGTAAATCTCAACGATGTCTGATAAGTCGGGAATGAAAAAAGAAAATCGTGTTCCTCCAGTTCGTCACGGGGCCGAAAAGGCTATAGATAGTTTGCGACAGAAGAACTAAGTTTAGAACCGTTGGGGGTCCGGGTAGCCGTGTCATCGGTACTGTAGCGGTTGTCTGTTACTCTTCCACTTGCACTCGATTTATCCAGCGACGGTGCACTATTTATAAACACCGCCACCGCTCATTAATGGTTTTTCGTGGGGTTCGCGTCGTCCGGGGACCGCGTATTCGTCTTACCGCGGGTTATTTCTTTTCCCCCGTACGAAACCACCCCCCTGAACGGGGAAATCCCGAGGGGGGCGCCAAGTCACGTCGATCCGGTATGCTAATCGCCGATTTATAAGACCGCCTCCGTTGCTTTAATTAATTTTAATTACGAACGGACCGTGATTCGCAAGGCCAGTCGTACGAGATCCGCGATATTAAAAAATAGTACTTCCAAACGCTTCGTCGAAAACCTGCAATAAAAACAATCCCTGTAAAGCTCGTTGAGGAAATTTTACAGCACTTTCACGCTATGTTTTTTTTATGGAGAAAGCTAACTTACTGGTCTGGGTCGGGGCATTAACTGCTTTAGGTGTCCTCTAAAAAGTAGATTTCTGAGCTGGTACCGCCGTTGTTCAATCTACAATATAGATGAAAATAAATATGAAAGTAGTCCGCCGTGAATGAAAAAGTTTCCAATTAATAGCCAAGTTTTAATTGACACCTTCGTTCGAGACTGTCGCGTTCGAGGGCGTTTCGACGCGTTCACCTTTAAGGCATGCATATTCATAGGTCCCTAGAAACATTGTTTACCGTATGGCACATTGTCTCATTATTGCGATCAAATTTCTGCCAGATACAATACATGCACGACGGGGGCGAGACCACGGAGGACAGTATGATCGTGGAAGTGACACTCGTGGCAGGAACTGGTTACACGTTGCCGGGCTACCTCCAAGGACGACTAATGTTTCCGCTCCACGTCAACGTGACGCCCGTTAATGATCCACCGTTGCTCGAGATATCGACCACCGTGCTGCGTCTGGCTCAAGTGAGACACAAAGACCATCAATTCTTATATACGCCGTGAAATTTTCTACCGTGGATGCTTTGTCTGGCGGGCAACTCCGCGTTAGCGTAATTGGCGCAAAATACCCAACACTTACTCCGCGCGACCCTCCTCCCTGGGGTAAATCAATTAATCGAGAATTGAAGAAATTGTGGTCCCCAGTCTTCGACGGAGGCGCCAGTCGAGTCGTAACGAAATCGATTTAAGTCGCTCCCAAGTCGTTGCTCTTAATTAACCGCTCGGTGTGCTTCAATCTTCTTGAATGAAATAATTCCTCTCGCCGTAAAAATTCGCTCGTCGACCCCTTCGGTGTTCAAGATCGCGGAGGAGCTCGAGTTGCCTCCGTTTAAATATTACACAGCGGGCGAACGTCCACCTGGAAATACAAATTTCCACGTGTTAAAACCAATATATGTTAATTTTAAATTACGTTCGTTTACAGGGCACGAGGAAAATTTTGACGAAAGTGTTGATTTGGGCGATCGACGCCGACACGCCGTCGGACATGTTGGTTTACACGGTCTTACGTACCGACGCAGACGCCGGCTACGTCGAGAGGGTGACTTACCCGTCGCGGCCCATCGACACGTTTACCCAGGCGGAATTAATGCAAGGATTAATTGCCTACGTGCACCGTGGAAACGGTAACATTTTCATCGATATTCGAGACGCGGAGCAAACGTTATCGTTTAATCGGCACATATACTCGTAAGGTCCGTTCCTCGATGATTCAACGGTCGTTTTAATTACCATTTACAGCGAAACCGAACGCGAAACTGGAACTGCAGGTCAGCGACGGGGTAGACAGCAGCAAGCCGGCGAGCTTGAGGGTGGCGGCTCATCCGTTGGAGATAAATCTGATGCAGAACACGGGTCTGGTCGTGGTGCACCGATCGTTCTCCTATCTGACCCCGGCGAACCTCTCCTTCACCACAAACTCCGACGACAACACGATCGACATACGTTGCGACATCGTCTCGCCGCCTCAGTACGGCGCGATTCAAAAGCTGAGGGATGCCTCGAGCAGCTGGACGAACGTGGACCATTTCACGAGCAGGGACGTCGAGCAGCACACGATCCGGTACCTCCACAACGAGGGTAGCCCGAACCAGGACGAGTTCAAGTTCCAGGCGAGCGTCCGTGAGGTCAGGGCCCAACACACCTACGACTTCCGGATCACCTTCATCGATTTAGAGCTGAAAGAGATGAAGAGGATACCGATTAACTTCACGAACGTGGCCGAGGTGACGGTGGCCGGTCTGAACCTCAGGTACCAGACGAACCCTCTGCTGACAGCGTTCAACAAGATCGTGTTCACCTTGAAGACGGGACCAAGATACGGTAACCTGTTCCTCTCGAGTCGGAGGCTGAACGTCGGGGACGCGTTCAGCCAGGACGACGTCGACTCCGGGCGTGTCAAGTACCGACTGTTCAAGAGGGCCTACTCGACCATCCTGGACGAGTTCGGGTTCAAGGTCAGCGCGCCCCAGTGCGTCGACATGCACGGGAACCTGGTACTGAAGCACTATCTCAGCAAGAACGTGAAACCGTTGGACAGCGTGGAGACGCTCAGGGTCGACGAGGGTTCCAGGGTGCCGGTGAGGATACTGCGTACGAACCCGAAGAGCTACGAGGACAAGGTCATCACGTCGTTGATGTACAATCTGACGATAGTGCCCCGTCACGGATGGCTGATCGTCACGAACAGCTCGAGGTCCCACACGAGGAACAACACCCACTACTTCGTGTCCGAAGAGCTCAACTCCCAACGGGTCTACTACGTTCACGACGACTCGGAGACGCGGGAGGACTCGTTCCAGTTCGTGGCGATCGCCACGGACGCGGTGGACTTCATGTACGTAGGTCTGTTCCGCGTCGAGGTGACGATGAAGAACGACAACGCACCGGAGCGCGTGGTCGATCGGGTGTTCCACGTAGTCTCGAGGAGCAAACGTTTGCTCACCAACAAGGACCTGGCGTACACGGACAGGGACGTGGACACGAAGCCCAGCGATCTGATTTACACGAGGCTGGACAGCCAGAGGTACGGTGTCTACCGGGTGTCCAATCCCACGGTGCAGATCCTCATGTTCAGTCAGCAGGACATCGACGACAAGCAGATACTCTTCAAGCATCAGGGCGACGATCGCGGGAAGTTCGAGTTCGGCGTGACCGACAGGCGATTTTACACCGCTGGCGTGTTGGAGATCCAAGCCAGTCCGCCTTACGTCAGACTGAAAGAGAACAACGGGTCAGTGGTGCAGTTCAATCGGTTGGTGGGCCTAGGGCCGGACGAGCTGGACGTGGAGACCAACGTGTACACGACCGACAAGGACATTAAGTACTCGGTGTTGGATAAACCGAAGCACGGGGTGCTGCTGAAGCACGGCAGAGAGACGAGCAGCTTCACCGAGGAGAATCTGAGAAACGGTATAGTGGCGTACAAACACCTGGGGGGATCGTTGGTCAAGGACGACTTCAGGTTCAAGGTGACGATCGAGGGCGCCGAAACTGAGGGCGTATTTCCGATCAAGGTCTACCCGGAGAGCTACTGGCAGCCGTTGATCGTCCAGAACAACAAAACGGTGTTCGTGGAGGAGGCAACGAGCGTCCTGCTGAACAGAAAGAGCCTCGAGGTGATGCATCCCAAGATACCGGAGTCAGAGATAGTATATTTCTTGAAAGAGTGGCCGCAGAACGGGTACCTGGAGCTGCAGATCCACGACGAGCACAGCGAGGAGATCCGCGAGGACTACATAGGCAACGCGGTGAAGACGTTCGATCAGAAGATGATAAACGAGGGCCGCGTCTACTACGTCCAGTCGGTGATCAATCAGACCAACGACAGATTCGTCGTGGACGCGACCAACGGGATAACCTGGCTACGCGACCTCAGCGTCAACTTCGTCATCGTACCGGAGAAGCTGTACGTCGAGGCGAAGGGAGTCGCTGTGGTCGAGGGGAAGAGCACCACCCTCGACGAGACGGACTTCTCCATCCTCACTCCCTATTACTTTGGCAAAGTGACGGACTATCGGATCACGGAGAAACCCAGGCACGGTGTCGTTCTCGATCTGTCGAAAAATTCCCCAGTTAGAGAGTTCTCTCAGAAACACCTGACCGCTGACGTAATATCGTACAAACACAATGGCGACGAGTACCCGAAAGATTGCTTCAAGATGGTCCTCGTGGCTGAGGACAAAGTCAGCGAGCCCTTCAACGTGTGGGTGACCGTGCAACCCGTCAACGACGAGCTACCCGTGCTGGTCAACAGGACCAAGTTGACAGTTTGGCAGGGTGGTTCGATCGTCTTGACGCCTGACAACCTGGCAGCCATTGACAACGACACGTCGGCTCATGACTTGACGTTCAACGTGACCGGTGCCAGAAACGGGTTCGTATCGCTGAGATCCGCCCCGGAATCGGACGTGTACAATTTCACGCAGGAACAGATTGACCAGTCGAGGATCATTTTCACACACACAAGTATGTTCCCCGGTTACCGACCAAGTTAAATCCACCCGCCTTATGCACTCGTCTTGTTTCAGATGGGTCCGATGCTGAGTTCAATTTCGTTCTGAACGATGGGGCGCACACGTCCGAGACCTACACGGTGCTGGTGGCCACCAAACCGATACGGTTGTCCATCGAGCGCAACGCTGCGTTGAACGTATTCCCGTTAACTAGAAAAGTGATATCGGATAAGCTGTTGTTGACAAAATGCATGGACGAGACGCGGGAGATTAAGTACATGGTGAGGAACGGACCGCATCTGGGCAAAATCATCATGGAGACGAGCGAGGGCGCGTGGCTGAACGTCGACCAATTCTCCCAGCGAGACATCAACGGTAGTAAAGTGTACTACGAGCACACCAAACAGTTCATGGACCTTGCCGCCAATGACTCGTTCACGTTCGACGTAGAGGCGCGGTTCGCGGAATCCTTGACCAACCAGGCAAGTACTCTTCCATTGTACGTCGTCTGATACCTGAAAAATACGCACGACTTTAACTACGACGTTCTATTTACAGGTGTTGCAGATAGACATTTCAGTGTCCAGCGGCGGATTGAACAGATACATTTTCGTAAAGAACGTGAGAGTGGAGGAAGGAGGATCCGCCCAAGTGATCATGAACATCAGTGGGATCGTGTCGTTCCTCCAGACCCACGCTGGCATCGAGAACCCGGTCGTTCTCTCAAGACTGATCGGTCAACCCAGCCACGGCCACGTGAAGATCCTCCCGGACGTGAACATAACCACGTTCTCTCAGACTCAGATAGAGGGCGGTGAGATCGTCTACTGCCACGATCACTCGGACACTTTGGAAGATCGGATCAACTTCTCGCTGTACCTGACGCCCGGTCACATCCTCCTCTGCAACGCCAGCGTGCCGGTAATCGTCGAGCCGGTGAACGACAAGCCCTTCAAGCTGATCACGAACAACCCTAGCATCAGAGTGGTGCAGAATCAGAATCAAACGATAACTAGCAAGAACCTGCTGACGGAGGACCCCGACACACCGCCGGAGGAAATCGTGTACGACTTGATATCAGGGCCCACTTACGGTCGTCTGTTGCTCCTGCCCTCGAACGAGAACGTCTCGGTGGTGCAACAAGTGAACAAGTTCACGCAGCAGGACATCGACTCGAACAGACTGGTCTATGAACACGACGGACCTCACCAAGCTGCTCTGTTCTATTTCCGGGTAGACGACGGTCGTTTCCCCTCCCAGTACAAGGTCTTCAACATCCTCGTCCTGCCCATCAAGCTGAACGTGACTATCCTTGGGCCCGTCTACCTGCAACAAGGATCGAGCGTGGCTCTGATAACCGAAAGCAACCTGAAGCTGGACACGAACGCGAGACGGGACCTGGTTGTCTACGAGATAACGAACAGTCCAAAGCACGGGGTGCTGTACGTGAGAGACGGGGCGGCGGCCAGCTTCAAGCAAACGGACCTAGCGTCTAAAAGCGTGATGTACATGCAAAAGAACATGACCGTGTCGAACGACAGCCTGGTGCTGACCGCCAAGGTGAGCGGGTTCGAGCAGCAACACATAAGACTAGAGATCAAAGTGGTGCCGCTGATGATCATGAACCCTATGATCGCGCTGGCCGGGGAGAAAACGCGGATATCTCTGAAATACATGGACGCCACACCGCTGGCGAAACTGACCAGCAGCAACCCTGTCTACGCCGTGATGAAGAAGCCAAAGTTCGGCAAGGTGAAGAGGATCATCAGAAGTTCGTCGTCGTCCGGCGAGAAACGTGGAACCCGGGAAAAAGAGGTGGTTCGGTTCTCCCATCAGGAGGTGGTGTCAGGTGTGATCTACATAGTCTGCAGGAAGATCCCGACGATGGAGTACGAGGGTGTCCTCGACAGTTTCACGTTCGTCCTGACGGCCTCCATCTTCCAACCAGCCGTGGGCGAGTTCGAGTTCCGGGTGAAGCTGGACATGGACGAGAACAACATTACTTTGGGCGGGCCAATGGACCCTGTAGGGCACGAGGGCGAGATGGCCATCGCGCCAAACATGAGCAACGATTACCTACCGGTTTTAGGGATGCTCCTGGGCGTGTTCCTGCTGGGCGTGCTGGTGATCATCACCATCAGGTGCAGGCACAACAGGTACAAGCACGCGGAGGAGGAGAAGTCGGAAACGTCACCGGCGGTAGGCGTGATGCCTCTTCCAAGGCCACCGGATCACCTGATGCCCGCGACGCCGCATTTGAAACGGTTCGCCAACGACCATAACAGCGTGGCCGCCAGCACGCCGCTACCAGTGCCGCCTACGATGACGTCCACGTTGCCACAATGCAAAGTGATACCTCTGAGTCCTCTGGAGAGCAGCGCTGGGTCAGAGGTGGACGTATCCGCCAGGTATCCCTACGGCGTCGCGGACGGCGACGAGTGGAGCAGCTTTGACACGTCGGACCTGCCCTGCCAGTCCGCCACCGCGCAAAGAGCCAATAACCCCATGTTGAGGAGAAACCAGTACTGGGTCTAGCAAAAGGAGGGCTGTTCGCGGTTCACGCGAATCAAGCCGTAACACCTACTCACATTCTGAAAGACTGTTCTTTTTCTTACGAACTACTCGAGATTGGTCGTCGATCGCTATGGTCTAAATGTGCCTAAAGAGAAATGACTCTGCCGATACGGCATGTCGGAAGCCCCCAGTTTTATACCGAAACCTTGACGGAAACTCTCTTTCGATACCCTCGACGGAACGTGCCAAAACGACATTTTATACCGCGTGTTGGGAGAGAATTGTACTTGGAGATTGAACGCTGTCGAGTCCGAGGATCGGAGTTTCCATCAAACTTTTTACTTTTGTTGTTTTTGTACGGATACTCCGCCAGGAACTACTACAACTAAATAACAATATACGTACAGTGGAGGAGCATAATCGGACCGATAACAAACGCGTTTCATTAAAATTGTATCGCCACGCGCAGTGGACGATAACCTAAACAACAGGTAATAAACAATCACGCAGGGTGTCACAAAAATGTGTCCCCGATCGCCTGTTCTTTGCAAAGATAGGTAATACTTTTTGGGAGACACGTGGTTGTCGATTCGGTTACGCTCTTCGTTGTACATTTTACGTGATCCGTAACGAAATAATGCGCAGTGTCTCGCAGAGTATTTACTATAGTCTCCCAGTGAAACCGGGAATGATATAGTCGGAACGAAATCAATTGCATCTTTGTTCGGGAGACAAAGGCGCGTGCCTATAGGTTTGCACGGAGAGGCGAAAGATGGCACGGCAGATCTCGTTTCGACTATAGCAAAGGGATACAAAGCCAAAAGACTATCGTCGCTATTACGGATCGAATGTGCCTAAGAGATCACCGAGTCTCGTAAGAGTATTCGCCACGAGGCCTGCACCACGTCGATTTTTGCTGCTGTCTTTCCTCTCGGTTAGACGTCGACTTGAAACGATCTTCTATCCGGTCACGGTCGTTTCCGAGCCCCAACTCGGCCGGGACCACGTCAATCAGAATGTTTTCTACTTCTTCGATGTTCCATGAGTGGGTACATTGCGGTTGAAACGACGAATCACTGAAAAACGAGGGCCAATGTTACACAGAGATCAAACGGTGAGTAACGGAAGTACTCGGACAGAGGGCCGAGCGTTGAATGTTAAGATGAGTTCCGCAGCAATCTTTTTACCCTTAATTTTCATCGACCAAGAAGCGTGACAAATATTTTTTTACATCCTGTACATAGTGTATAAATCATCGTTTTTTAAACACGTTCCAAAATAAATTTTTAAGGCGTTCGTGTATCGTCTCAATGTTTACAAAACCGATCGAATAAATTCTACGTTATATTGCGTATTTCCGCGTACGGATAACTGAATCAGAGAACGAGAAATTCGAGCGTAACCTGCTGTCCGAGCGTTCCCGTTGCTCGCTGAAACTCGAGAAGAAAGTCGGGAGTGTTTGTAAACAGTATCGGGGCGCAAAATACTATATATAGTTACCTAAACATTTGTAAAAAGTGACTACAAAGGGGACTGCGTATTTCAGATTTATACTCAGCGCGCACACACACGCGCGCGCGCATACACACGGATACGCACACGAGAAATGTATAGAAATTATCAGCGACTTTTATAACGGCGTAAACGCGCGTGTTCGATGTATGGCGGTACAACATGGAACACCACGAGTTTCGCACATATCTTTTTACACCTTTCCCGCGTATTTCTACTGACTAACGTCGTACCTAGATCAAGCTAACGAGTTCTATTTACGTTTTAGACGATGCCCTAGACTTCGTTCGTTTCCGTTGCGCAATTCTTATCTGTCGAGCAGAAAAATGATCCACGCCGCGGCGATGATGTACATAATCGTTCGTGATTTCCGTTGACGCGCTTCGATCGTGAAAACAAAAGATGACGCTGCCAGCGTTGTTTACGTACATTTGCGTTTGCGACTAGCTTGCAACGCGCAACGTTGTCTTTTGCTTTTAACAAACGATCTGGTCGACCAATGCGACTAAACCATCGAATTCGATGACGCCAATTTGCTGGGAAAAAACGTCCCAAAAACTTTAAACATATTTGTACAACTAACCTGTACACGGGGTGTCCTGTTAACCTTGGGGAAAAATTTTAATGGTGGATTCTGGAGGCCAAAATAAGACGAAAATGAAGAATATCAATTTCTTGTTTGAGGCTTCGTTAAAAAGTTATTAACAATTGTACCTGTAAAATGGCAACTCAGAGGTGCAATTGTTAATAACTTTTTAACGAAGCCTCAAACAAGAAATCGATATTCTTGATTTTCGTCTTATTTTGGCCCCGAGAACCCCCCATTAAAATTTTTCCCACGGTTAACAGGACACCCTGTATATCTATTACGCATAGTTATTCGTGTTTGTTCTTATTGGTAATTCCTTATGATTAGACGGCATGGTTGGGGGGGGGGGGGCAGGGGGGCAAAGGAGGCGATACGTTTCAATTCTTGCTCTCCCACATCGAAGTTTCGTAAATCTGGCCGCATTATCGTCGACGGTTCGAAGGTCAATTTTTTTTTTCATGCCTTTCAGAAGATTCGCCGCGAATCGGTCTCTTCATTCAGCAATGACGAATTTTATTCCTCTTTGGGTCGTCGAGCGGCGTACGAAACGCGCAGGCGGTTGGATTCTGCTCGATTTTTCTTCAGTATTATAACGAATTGATCCAAATCTCACGATCGATGATCAGCAACGGTTCGACGTCAACAAACGTCGATATTCCCGCGCTCGTCGATCCACCCGGTGGACATTAAACGTCACGTCTTCTGAGCCTGCGCAAACTCACAGTGACCTTAATTAACGATGACTTCTTTAAACCCTGAAAACGTATAATTAAGGAAACGCTCTAACGTCGATGTTAATATAGTGATAATGGATAATAATCATTTTACACATACATACATACATATATAGAGATTTATATATGCATGTATGTATGTACGTACGTATGATGTATGCATGTATGTATGAATATATGTATGAATATATGTATGTACGTATGTATGAAATTATGTACACTCCTACATAGAAAATACTGTTTCACGAATTCGTAGCATATCCATTAATATAATAGATCCGTTTGTTGATTAATGAATATGCTAGATACGAACAGTTAGGCTTTTTTACCATCCCTAAAAAAGTGAACCGATCCGAGTGCCAAACTTCTTACATTGTGTAATATATAGTTATACATATAGGACTGTATTTTCCCTGCCGACTGAACGCATTACTCTTGTAATTCAAATAAACTGAATGTGCGATGTTATCTAAAAGAGGCGTGTCATCATGACGTTAACGAACCTATCCATTGCTGATTTATTCACGAGTTGATCGGTTTTGTTCGTCGATAACGTTCGTTTCAAAAATGGAGGCGACAAGAGCGGGAAAGGTTCAGCTCGCGTAACTTCTGGAAATCCTTCTTGGACTATTTCCAGAATTCAAAGCTACGGAAAACATTACGAACGATAAAATAAACTTTAAACGATAAAATAATAAGACAGATATTGCGAGAACGTACGTGAAATAGTTGGTGGCATTCGGAAACAGCAACTTGCCGATGACGATTCGAACGAGCATAGCTCCATCTATGAAATTCGATTCCGTCCCGTTCGAATTAGTAAGAACGCGGTATAGGAAATGTTACTTCTCAACATGGCTTCGTACGTGCGGTAAGTTAATTATTTTCGGCCTTTTAACCTTCAAAATATCAAGATAAATTTTCTTCGATTGGTCGCACTAAGGCTGCAACACCTTCTCCCACGAATTATTTCCACGCACAACCAGTCGCAATTCCTACAACCCACTTTCTAGTGTTTACTTTTCTATTGCAATAATGGTCACGCTGACGTGTCCATGATAACATCGTTTTTGATATACATGATTTTTTCGAACAGTACGACACGCAGCAATCCCTCGCTCTTATCGATTTGTTTATAAAATCGATATTGTCCGGCCAGGCTCGTTTAAAGATCGTCTTTGCCACTTAGAAACAATGTAAAACAAATTCCATTAGACTGACACAACAACAGCCACTTTTTAATCCTTTTTCACGACCAATCGGGAATAAAATGTAATTAATATCGATCAGCCGATTAAATGATCGATTATTCGTATTACAGGTTCGGATTATTATTATTATTAGCCTGTTCTCCCTTCCTTGTGAATGCAGTTAACAGGGACTCGTTTAAAACATGTGATCAAAGTAGTTTTTGCAGGTAAAGTTACTATTTTGTTTCTGCTGCTTGCTCCAATCGTTTGGAATTTTACTAAATTTTTTTATCGTGTCGTTAGGCGTTGTCGAAAAGTTGAACCTGGAAAGACACCTTATCAACTCTTGGTGGACACGTTCACTCATAATGAATCTACTATAAATATAGATTTATTCAATAAAGATACGGGAGTACTTTACATATTGCAATTGACCGCTCTGAAAGACAATATGTTCAGGCTCCACATCAACGAAAAGAATCCTTTACATCCGAGATATCAACCGGAGAACGCCCTTCAGGATCAACCACAAATATCTAAATTAACTTTGGTCGAAAGAACCGCGGATCATATAACTGTATCCAACGAAGGGAACAAAGTAATTCTATATGCTATTCCGTTCAGAGTAGACGTATATTCTCAGGACGCGTTGGTCGTGTCCGCGAACGCAAGAGGCCTCATGAGATTCGAACATCATCGTACAAAGCCTGCGTATGTATAACAAAAGAATATATCATTCGTTCTGTTCTATACGACTGACAATTTTTTTTCTGAATGTAACGCAGGAAACCGGAACAAGAGGAGAATGCGGAAAACGTTGAGGCAACGCACGATAATCAATTCCCGGGCGATGGAGCCGACAGCGATCCGGGAGCGTGGGAAGAAAATTTTAAAACTCATCACGATTCGAAACCTTACGGCCCGGAAGCGATTGCTATGGATTTCAGCTTCCCTGGAGCGGAACACGCGTACGGTATACCCGAGCATGCAGATTCGTTCGCTTTGAAATCAACGAAACAAGGCCACCCGTACAGATTGTACAATTTAGATGTGTTTGAATACGAAGTTAACGAAAAAATGTCCGTGTACGGGTCTATACCGGTACTGTACGCTCACGGGAAAGAGAGAACAACAGGGATTTTCTGGCACAACGCTGCAGAAACGTGGATCAATATTTTATCAAGCGCGGACAACAACGTTGTCGAGAGTCTCGTAAACCTGGTGTCTGGTTACGCGAAAAAGTCACAAGTCGACGCCCATTTTATGTCAGAGGCAGGTGTGATCGATGTATTCTTTATGCTAGGCCCAAAGCCTTTGGACGCGTTCAAACAGTACACGACCCTAACAGGCACAGCACCTTTGCCACAAATGTTCACGTTAGGCTACCATCAAAGTCGTTGGAATTACAACGACCAAGATGACGTAATGCAGATAGCAGAGAATTTTGATGTACATGATCTACCTCTGGATGCTATGTGGCTGGATATCGAATACACCGATCAGAAAAAGTACTTCACCTGGGATTCGCGAAAATTCTCGAATCCAATAGAAATGATACACAATCTGACCGCGAAAGGTAGAAAGTTGGTCGTTATCATCGATCCACATATCAAGCGCGATACGAATTATTTCCTCCACAATGACGCTACCAAGCTTGGCCTCTACGTGAAAACGAGAGACGGAAAGGACTACGAAGGTTGGTGTTGGCCAGGACCAACATCGTACTTGGACTTCTTCGATCCGAAAGTACAGGAATATTATATAAATCAGTATAGCTTGGATAGATTCCATGGGACTACAAACGACGTGTACATCTGGAACGATATGAACGAGCCGAGCGTATTTAACGGCCCTGAAATTTCTATGCCTAAGGACCTGGTCCATTACGGTGGTTGGGAGCACAGAAGCGTCCACAATATCTATAGCTTTTTTATGACTAAGAATACATACGAGGCTTTGTTCAGAAGATCGGGAGGTACTCTAAGACCGTTTATACTAACGAGATCCTTGTTCGCCGGATCGCAACGTTACGCGGCCATGTGGACCGGCGACAACATGGCGGAGTGGGATCATCTGCGAATAAGTTACCCCATGTGTCTTAGTCTAGCCATTTCTGGTATGTCGTTCTGTGGCGCAGACGTTGGCGGTTTCTTCAAAAATCCAGACTCCGAGCTCTTCGTCAGATGGAACCAAGCTGGAGCTTGGCTTCCTTTCTTCCGGCAACATTCTCACATCGAGGCTAAACGACGGGAAGCTTGGACGTTCAACGAGGAAATATTGCAAATTGTCAGAGAGGCTTTCAGAATGAGATATTCCTATCTACCGCTGTGGTACACCGTCTTCAGAGATCACGAAGTGACCGGAGCTCCTGTTGTGCGTCCTCTCTGGGCTCATTACCCAGGCGAAGTTGAAACATACACGATCGATGATGAAATACTGATCGGAGACTCGATACTCGTCCATCCGGTGTTTCAACCATCCGTCACGGATGTTAACGTATATTTCCCTGGAGAGGGCAAGGTAACATGGTACGACGTTGACACGATGCAACCCTATCATCAGCCAGGCATAGTTAATGTACCTGTGACCCTTCATAAAATCCCGGTGTTCCAAAGAGGAGGCTCCATCGTTCCACGTAAAATGAGAATACGTCGTAGCACGGTTGCAATGAAGAACGATCCGTACACTCTGGTAGTCATCACAGATTCTAACGGGAAAGCTAACGGCACGTTGTACATCGACGACGAGACCAGCTTCGAATATCGTCATGGAAAATATCTGTATTTGAGACTTAATTTTGAAGGCAATAAACTAACCTCGACGTTTATAGATAAGTTAGCTTCGTATCAGACGGAGAGCTGGTTAGAAAGGGTAGATATAGCAAATCCGCCTCAGGGAGTCACGTCCGCCGTATTAACTTCACGTAGTAAGTGACTAAAATTCGAATAAACGTTATGATAACAGACTCTCTAAGTAAAATTAACATATTTTTTTTTTTCTTTCAGATTTGGGAAAAGTTACTTTGGAGGCTAAGTACAATCCAAATAATAATGTATTAACCGTGCGCAAGCCGGGTGTAAATATGGGAGAAGAATGGACTATCGAATTGATCCACTAGAATCACAGTTTTATTCATCATAATCTCAGTAACCATACAGTAATGCCAGTTTTCTATTATTCGCATAATTTTTTCAGCTATCTGTGATCAAAAGGAGATTGTATACTATAACAAAAACAAATACAATGTAGAGATATGATGTAAATGGTATATTTATTACTTTGGCGAGTAAGAAAATTACTTTCGTTTGATCATGTAGTGGGTAACTGACAAGCCTATATGCAACTTTTAAAGCTTATTAATTGTGCATGTCAACTTTGATAAAAAACCTTACATGTATTAGAGGTAGAAGAATCGAAAATATGTTTCTAAAAATATTCAAATTGATACGTAATATATCGAATCCATTCTCTATATATTTCGTAATTATTGTTTTATTTCACCTGCTGTAAAATCTGTTCCTAAACTAAAAAAATTATTTAATCGCATAGAAACTGGTTTTGCGACCGAGGAAACGGTGGAACATTAAAATACAAAAACTTATCCCGATTTAGTTAAAAAAAAAAAGTTTTATTAAATTAAATACGTTCCGCTGGTGCTTGTTTATGTGCTAAATACAAAAACACTATCGATGACAATGCAGATACCAAAAAGATCACGTCGAACCACCTATGGTAAAAATTGAATTGCAATTCCCCTAAAACTTGCGTTATTATAATACGATATTCTGCGGGCATATTCATTCGCATTAAAAGCACAGAGGACACGAAATACATACCCTAAAAAATACATATACATATTTGAAGAAATTGTATACCTAAAACATTATTAGAAAGAAGGCCCTTACCATTATTTGAGCAAGTACAAGTACAATAATATTTGATGATTTGCTGCTCGATATAGCATAAAAAAACTGAAATAAAAAACAAAGGTAACATTAAACGTGTAATAAGAATTTTTTACGACGTGTCGATCGTGCTTTCCGATATTCATGTAACATGTACAAATTACTCGTAATAAATATCGAACACCATTCTACAAAGATGAATAAATTTCTTTTTTAAACATACCTTTGTCAGAGTTAGTAATAAACCGCGAATCGACGTTAAGACGATACAGCCGATAAGATAAAATGAAATGTGCTGCGACCAAAACGTAACATCGATGTTAAATCCCATCCAATGGACAGCAATTTCGATCGCTCTCGTTACAGGATCCTTTTTGCCAACTCGATCGAACACTATATTGATCGTGGACTGAAAGGAAAAGTGGATGTAAAATTTATACAAAATAAACTACAAGTATAACACTTACAATAAATATCTTCCAAGTGCAATATACGGAGAAGAAGTATCCTAAAAAATTGAAATATTTCCCCTGCCAGGTAGCAGCCCATTCCAAACGTTCTCTCGCATTTTGGATATCGTGCGCCTCCAGGAATAATTGTCTGGACAATTCTTCTAACGCCATCACTTCTGTTTGTAACTGTTTAATACCTGTAAGCATATGGTATTACGACTGTACTCATTATTTAAACGATTGGAGTATTGGAAAGTACCGATACATACTTTCTTGATTACTTTTAGTGCCGCTTAAAGGTCCTAGCATACCCCAAAGTCTATACCGCGATTCAGTTTGACCCACGACTTCCCCCTTTTTGGCTAACGCTATTCTCTTCTTTTTGGCAACGATCATGTCCATTGTTTGCAGCAATCGTTTCTCTATGATCTGTACATCGGCGTACGTTACAGGCCTCATAAAATAAGCCATTGAGGTATATGGATAGTTTACAGCACCAAATCCTGATAGAAGTGCCATAACAGTAACTCCGATAACTCCTATTCTACTAACGCCCTGTTCTATAGAGAGTAGGCCTTTTTTCGGGCTCAAAATAGGAAACGGATCTCCCACTTTCCAGAACAAATACAGATAAAAAAGATATACAATGACTGTCAACGGCCTTATTAATTTCAGTCTTACTGTGGAAGAAAAAGTATCAGATTCAATAACGGATAGTAGAAAATATCAAATGTAATTGTTTTAAATCCGTACATACCAAATCTAATGTTACTGATAATAAAGTATGCTATGTAAAATGGAATCACAACTATTACCATAAACAAAAGCATATAGAGGCCGGTGTTCCAATGAAAATATCTAGAACTAAATCATTTAAGGTGTTAATAATTAATATTGAAACAATGGGGGCTGCTTTTTGCTTACCTAGAATCAAGAACTCCTATTATTTCAAATATAATTAGCTCGAACATGGTACAGGATAGCGAAAATGTCGTGGAGAAAATTAATTGTACTAATCTGTGGTGGACTTCGTAGTCTCGAAATAATTTCTTTACAAAAAACACCCATCCTCCTAAGAAGAAGATGACCTGGAATCATAAATAAATGTATAAAAAAATTATAAATAATTTCATTGAGTCTAACAATACGCAATCTAGCTACGCAAGAGTAAATAAATAAATTTGTCAGTATGTGAAATAAATCACCAGATTTATTGTAGCGGCATTGGCATTGATACAATCAATATAAATTACAATCTACACGATACAATTTACTCTCTTGCTTAATACATAAACAATGTGATCTCGTTATTAGAGTTTACTAATCACTATTTTCTATTGAAACCATTGAAAATAATCACGCTTTATTTATACGAAAGTAAATGTGCTATTAAACGATAAATACTATAATTATTTTCTCCCTCAAAGAAACCGTATATAACCTAATTGTCTAACGTCTATCAGAACCGGCATAACTTAGTATATTAGTGGAGATGAATTTCCACCTGTGTAATAAGAATCACGAATGTATCCTCCAAGAAGCCCATATTGTTACAGTATCGTGCACACTTCGCATTGCAATGTGTTAAATTCCTATCAGGGAAATTGACAGAACGCCGCAAAACAATCCACGCGGCACTCTAACAGATATTGCGACTGTAATAGCCCCTGATCACTGGACACCAGTTTTACCAGACAGTAGACCGGTGTCCAGAGGAAACTGCCCCTTTAGCTATGCACGATACGCACAGCCACGTGTACTGTGCTCCGCTCAAGTCCCGCGGGACGACACGGGGCCAACAGAAGTGACCCGCCCATTTATCTATCTAGCTCTCTTGCTCTCAGGCAGTCCAATAGCCTGACCGACCAATAGCGAGCGAGAGTTCTATGTGTACGCGGGAGTACCGTGGCCCCCCTCTACTTCTCTCGCATTACTGCCGCGAGGCTTCGAGTCAGCGGACCACTGTGCACGAGCTCTTGCACTTTTAACAGAAGGAAACAACTCCTACTCGTGTCTAACATGGCCAAAACCTTGAAATATAAAGTCATTAAATATGGCGTATCATTCTTTATATTTTCATATCAGAATAAAAATAGATACAATATCTAGTACTAGTATAATGGTAAATAATAAGTATGTCTTATTGCACCGATTATCCAGAATGTCCAATTTACATTTATTCCTTTATTTCCTAGCTTTTATCGAAATACACGTTCACAACTTCTATATTATACACGTCTTGTAGCATAAAATACACTCCCTTAAAGCGGGACAGAATGTTAAAAAGATCATGCATTTAATTGTAAGGGGATCCTATCTCCTTTCAAGTCTCCACTTGCAGTGACCTCCTCCTGGTGAGACCTAGTGAGCTAATGGCTGCGAATTTAAAATAGTTTCCTTAAATACACATTTAAAATAGTTTAACGCTGCTGGCCACAACAGCTACCTCAGTGGCAGTAGTCGATGTGCTGTGTTAAGTATAAAATTGATCAATTTTTGATACTTCTCGAAATTTATTGGCGTACACCCCACAGAAATATTAAATTGTTTCATATATTTAAAAATTGTTTTTTTATTCCTGTATATAATATACTTCTTCGGGTTGAAACGCTGCCTTATAAAATAAAATCTTTATATTTATTTACGACAGATTGTTTGCTTAATTAGAGGGATTTTAGCTAAACTGTTTTTCAATGTATATTCAAGTTTTCCTTCAAAGTTTCGTTAATCGATGTGTCGTTTTCCGATACTGGTATATTCTGGAAAAGTATATATATTCGCTGAATAAAAATTTGTACAATAAAAAATATTACTAGAATTGGTGATAAAACACTTACTTCGTCTTCGATGTTATTCAATTCTTTGAGTGCTTCTCTATACCTTTTGAGGATTCGATCAGGCGGCGATGTTTTAATCAGCTTTTTAGAGTATTTAAAAGTTTTCCTCGCGGGGGTTAAGCCTATTTAATTTTAATAAAAATGGATGAATTTTTTAACAAATAAAAATAGAAAATATAGACATACCTGTTGGTACATCTCGATATAAATCATCGGTGAAAAATTTGTCGACTCGATCACGTATCGCTTGAATCTCCGCAGTAATTCTACTACTCGCGTTTTCAACATTTGTGTTCCCATTTTCAAGTTTTTTTATCATTTCCATATAAGTATTTATAAACGATGCTTTCCAATCATTTAAGCATTTTATACGTTCGTTGCCCGTATCATTAATCGTCATGTGCATACCCTGTAAATTATTAAAATTGTAAATAAATATTATAAAAACCAACGAACGATCAGAAAGCTTACGTTGATCGATGATAAAATTAGACCTTCGTCTTCTTTCATTTTGTTCTGCATTTCTTTCATGTTACACTCTGTGCAACTTTTGTGACCTATTAATGTGTCGCGAGTATTATGCAAACTCGTTTCGAATTCACCGACTATCGTTTTACTTTCTGCAATGGAATTTTCTGACAATATCCTCAACTATAAAACGCAACGAATATCAAAATTATACGACTAAAATATGGAGAAACGGCATTTGTTCAGCTGCTGGCTGTTATGCTTTTTACCTTTTCCGTTTCCCCTTTAACCGTTTGTTCTATTGCTCGCAAGTCACACTGAAGCTCATCCCGTACACTGTTTTCTTTTTCTACATTTACTCTATAAGTGTTAAAAGCTTCATTGTTTAAAAGATCGGACGATTCGTCGATATTATCTAACGCGGCACACGCCAGAGAATGATTTTTCTCGTCCTCCTCCCGTAACTTAACAAAACTACTTTGTAAATCTACCATCATCTGAAAATATCAAATATCAACCATACGATATAATTATAAAATTTAAAAAAACCATTACCTTTGCGAAATTTGTCTGTTTTTCCATAATGTTCATTTGCCTTTGTCGAATATCTTCGACGTATCTCCTAATGTCTTCAACATTATTATTTAATCGATTGTGCTCCGCGTTCGAATATTGGGATATCGACAACGTAAAGTTGTTCGTAGTTTTTATTAAATTATCAATTTTTTCAGAGACATCGTTACTTAAATCTCGCAAATTTCCCGGCAATTTGTTATTTATTAATTGTTGAATTTTCTGCGCGGTATCGCAACCCTTATTTAACATGCTACATTCTTGTTCCGTCATGGCTGTAACATTCTCAATTTCTTCCTCGAGCCACTCTTGATGCCTGGAATACTTAAAAAAAAATATACATCATAGTTTGTTGCAATGGTCTGTATACACTATTTAATGTTAATTTCATTTGATTACTTACAGAGTTGTTTACGTGTCTCATCAATTCATCAGTTATGTTTCGCGACGGATTGATGAGATCCGTGGATGTACGTTGAACCAATGTATCGACGCGCTCGCTAAGCGCGCGATTTTCTGCATCTAAAGAGACAAAACGTGATAAATATAATCCTAAAAATACACTATATTTTCATTCAATGGTTTTCTTACTAATATGCTCTTTCAGAGACGCGCAAAATTGTATCACGCTCGCAGAGTGCGTTGCAACGTCGCTTTCAACCTGTCTGCATCGTTCTTTAATACTGTTTTTAGTTTGTTGACCAACGTTGCTATTTCGCTGTGCTATCTCCCTGAAAATACATAGCCGTTAACTGTACAATCAAAAATATTCATATTCCGTTGTACGAAATACCCTACATTTTGCGAAAAACTTTGTCATGAAGCTTATGTACGTCCGCAGTGGCCGTGTCGACGACATTCAAAACTGTTTCCACTTGCGACAAAAGAACATTTTCGGTGGTTGCATGTTTCTCGACAAGGTACTTTTGCTCATCGCTTTCCTGTTTAGACACCGTCAAATTCGACGTGGCTGACATCAATGCATTCGTCGTGGTATGCAATTGATTTCTTATATTTAACAATTGATTTGCTTGCTCAGAATTTCTCACCATTAAATCATTAAATAATTGCTGAAACAGGAATTAAAATTCTTTATTACAGATTTTTCTCCGCAAACAAATAAATAAATACCTGTTTGTACTTCAAGGTGTCTTCGACCGCTTTAATATGATTTAACTTTTGTTGTATTTCTTTGTCTTGATAATTAATTAATAGTTGCATTTGATTGTAATTGTCTGGAGCTAAATAAACCCCATTTCGTTCGCGGGTCACCACTAAATCTTTCTTCAATTTCTCGATCTCTTCTGTGTATTCTAGTAGCAAAGCTTTTTTAGAAAACTTCTGATTGATTTCCGGCCGAATCGTAACGTTTCTTGCACGGTGAGCATAATCCAGAGTTGACAATGTTTCTTCGAGATTAATGCTAGCAGGAGACACCGTAGCGATTATCGAAGTTCTCGTGCGCCCACCCAACGATTCTTGCAGTAATCGCGTTAATTTCGATTCGCTGTACATAAAAGAAAAACAGATGTTCAAGTTCAATTGAACTTTATAGATCCAGTTTCTGAATTTGCAAATATAATTTACCGGTAAGGCACGTGCGGAGTCTTCTCTACAAGTGCTGTTATAACTCGTCCAAGAGTCAACAGAGACTGATTAATATTCCCTGCTTCCCTGGCTCTTCGATCTACAGCCCCGGATCTCCCGACATTTTCACTACCGGCTAAATCAACTAGATTTAATTTCCCTGTCTTTAAAAGTTCATCTCCGTCTATAGTATTCTCCTTTATGTGAACAGTAATAGAAAATATCGTGTGAGACCGGCTGAAACAAAGAACACAAATATTAGAATCTATCAAACGGATTTATCATCGCCTACGGACGATACAAACCTGGAATTCACATTCACCAACGTGGCTGCTGTCTGACGTTTTTCAGATCCCTTCTGGAGAATTCTAAATACATCAATTTTATTATAGATCGTCACTTCCTGTAAACCATGTACTATTACTGCTCCCTTTTTAGTCGAATCCTCGTATATCCTTTCAAAATATCACATACCTTTTCAGTTAATTAAACCGACTACCACATAAAGAAATCATATAAAGTATGTTACCTAATCTTAGCAGCATCGTCGCTGGGAGATAATAAATCGTATACTTCTTCATTATACAACTCTAAGAAGGTCACTCTTATAGAATACTCTTGTTCCGCCATTATGAGTAACTCGTCGAACAAGTCGCTCAAAGCACGGGGTATAATTCCAACATTGTTATCCTATAAATTATGTATATGTATATACAGGGTGCTACATGTTTACAAACAATGACCAGAGACTTCTTCTAATAGTTATTCGCCTAAGTTCTAGGAAACTTACTGTTCGCCAATGCAACGACGGATCGATATCAACGCCTTCCATGGTAAAAGTTTTTCCAGTACCGGTTTGACCGTACGCAAATACTGTACAATTATATCCAGCCAAAACTTCCTCCACCATAGGATGGACGACTGCATTGTAAACTTCTACCTGAAAGTTTACGACGTTAAGATATCCAGTGATGTTATTAATTCCATTAAAATACATACTTGCGTCGAGAAGGATCCAAATACTCTGTCGAACGTAAATTTCTTCGTAAATTTATCGTGCGGCCTTTCACGAATAAATATTTCCTTGTTGGACGGGGTATCAACAACTGTCATCGACTTCCCAATTTTCTCGGCATTATTTATCGGCCTAACATGAAACAAAGCAACGTCAATAATAACACTGCATTTTAAACTAAAAATCTCGTGTACGCGAACGATAGTTTACTGCACAAATTACCTGACGCGAACAAAAACTTGGACGTGTTGCTTCCTGTCCCTCTTATTTTCGCTACGCATGTCGTTCATCTTTCACGAATATGTACTCTTTTTGATTCGATCGCTTTTAATTCCGTCCGGTCGAACGTTCGTTCTCCTTTTTGTAAAATAACTGGCAACCTTTCATATTGTGTACAAAGCTTCCTCGCGGCGTTAACGGTTGAAACATTTAAATTTCGATGATTCGCATAAATCGCGGTAGAGGTCTCTCGCAGCGTGTCAATGATAATATAACCGGATTTTTTTATATTATTTGATTATTGTACGATGGAAAATAATATTAATGATACAATTTAAGGATGAAAAATGGGAAACGATTTTAAAACACAATTGTAAATATGATTGATCGTCAACGTATAATTATTTATTTACACGTAACGCGCATAAAATCAAATGTACATATTAAAATTTCTTCATCGTCCGATTGCCATGTAAATTGGAATGTAAATTATTATAAACTAATCGAAAACCTGTTTCAAACACATTTACTATGTCAGAAGTGTGATAATTATCTATGTATGTACAAATTTATCTTATTTTTACTTTATGTTAAAGGATTTAAGATATAAATATATTTTTCTTATAATATTTTAATTCCTGTATGCTTTCCTTTATATCCGACAGAGCTCTATGACAGAATACTTTTTTAGGTGCATTTTCAAACTCCTTTGGATTCCACATCCTATAAAAAAATTCATATTACTTTAAGAACCAACCATAGGTGTAATTATGACTAAATTGTACAGATAAGTGTAATGACCTGACAAGTTGTTTAATCGTGCTGACATCAATGATTCTATGATGTAAATATTTATGAACTAATGGCATGTATTTCATCAAATACAGACGATCCCAGTATATTGTGTTACCAGCCATTGGACAAGTTCCCTCCAGTACATACTTCTTTATGAAATTAAGTAACATTTCTTCCGCTTCTTTTAAACTAATTCTACTAGATTTACAGTCATCCACCAACCCTGACTGGAAATATACATAACGAATAACAAATTTAACCCGACTAAAGTAACGATTACTTACTTTATTATGATGTTCTATACACCATTCTTCCATATTTTCTAATACTGCATCCGGTTGATTAATTACAACATTAAAATCTTCGCTAACTACGTTCAAATCGTTGTCAGTTATTATGCAAGCAATTTCCAAAATTTTATCGTCGTCTCTAAGTCCGGTGTACTGAAAAAGGAAGCTTCGATGTAATATTTCTACTACAAACGTTAAATAAAATATTGCCGATCATTTACTTCTCCGTCTATCCACACCATAAATTTGTTTTCCATTGAAGCCATGTCTTAATCGATGAAAGCTGTAAAATTAAAATACATCTTATTTTTCTCTGTTCTTGTAAGGATACAAAAAAATTCTGTTCATATATTTTTTTAAATTTATAACACGAACAAATGCAAATCGATTGTGCAATGTTAAAACATTTCGATAAACGGCGGGTTTGATCGCAAATACGTTACTACTGTAAGACGTAGTTAAAACGTGGCATAAGTGAAAACGGAACATAATATTTGATACTTTCTTGTGTTATATATATAAATCACTTGTTATGGGATTAATATATAAGAATTTATAAATAAGTATTCGCCAGAATAATAAAATTTAAAAAGTTGTTTAATAATATATGCGAAATTTGCTATTATACTTAGTGGTAGGAGCCAGTGAACGAACTATAAGTAACCGTTAGTATCGACAGAATTGAACATAACCTTTGTAAATGGTTTTCAAATTATTAAATACGTTCTTTAATACAGGGAAATGAAATAAATATTACGTATTTTAGTAAATGGATAAGTAATATCTAATTTACTTACTAACTACTCAATCTAATAAATTCAATGACGGTGTACACATTCTCAAGATCAAGCAACTATGTATACGTATATGTATATGTATTTAAGCTTTGTATAATATAAATCTAGGGCAATAAATGATATAATTTCAAAGAATTCTATGCGTTCCCTTTCTCCCCCTCTCTAAATCATTCCTTCGGTTGTAAGAAACCGATTTTTCGGTTAAAATTGAATTTCCAAAATGCTGGTGACCATAACCCAGTTTGAAACTGGGTCAAGACCCCATAAAAACAGAGAAAAATACAATTTATAGACAAAAATTGGCAATAGTATGCGAATAATTACATAAAGCATTGAAATCTACTTTAAATTGTCATTAAACAAATCACTGAAGTTTATTGCAAATGAAGGTTTAACAGGAATATAAGTTCTGAACGATTAATCATATTTTTTTGCTGTATATGTATAACATCTCTTAAATGAAACGTACAACAAGAGACGTAATACATTTGAAATTAATTTTCTTTCTTTATTCATTCCCAAAAGCTATGAGATATTTCGTACATTTTTTTCACGTGTTCACGTAACGTAATCAGACTCGTATTTAATTTAACAACATTAAAAGCGAATACTTTATTACATTTTCACTGGTTTCAACGGTTCAAATTGATTCACTATCGAACAACGCAGAATTCGTAAACGATTTTATGAAGTTGCCATGACAGAGATGTGCATGAACGCGGTTACATCAATGTGGTTAGATTTGGCATAATTCAGTGCAACGAAATCGACAATAGTGACGACGAACTTCTTTAGCTTTTAACGGAATGGTGGGGAAAACTGACATATTGTACCTCAAAGAACGTGAACGGGAAGCCTTTCCTTCGTGCTCTTGAATACCTGAAACCAGTTTTCGCGGCAGACAATTTCGAATCTGGATTACCCTGCCATTTTTACGTTTCGAGGTATGTAGACACATGCGTATAACCAAAGTCACGATTTATTTTCTAATTGTTCTATTATTTCAAATAATAATTCTTTGATTCTATAACAAACAATGTTTATTTAATATTGAATTCAATTTGTATTTGTATATTTTTTGCCTATATAGGCAAATATACCATTTTTGCATATATAGGCAAATATACCATGTTCAGTTTTATTACATAAATTGTTCCATAACAGAGGTGTTCAGTCTCTGAATTGTTCAATATAAAATTATTCTTGGTCTTTAAAAAGACCGGTTTGTCCCTTCGACGCTGCTCGTCAACCATCTTCTTCGCCATCTTCGATTTTGATTGAATGGAAATCTTCGATTAAATTCTTCATCTCGTTACGATCCGTCTTGCTTGGTGGTTGAATGAAAACTGTCGCGCGCTCGCCAGGGGGACACGGGTTTTTATAAACTTTCCTGAAGCTAACGCTGATTGGCTGAGGGAGTCGCTAGTTGACAGATATGATCAGTAATTGCAAATAAAATAAATAAGAATTATTATTTGAAATAATGGAATACTTATAGGTATATATAAATAATTTCTACATATTCTCCATCAAAATACGCGTTGTGTGCAACTTGAAACATTAAGATCCTTCAATCCGTTCAGAAGTTATAATGTTTTAAAGATAAATAATGTTCGTTTGACATTTCATTACGTATGTTTAAAATATTATAACTTCTGAACGGATTGAAGGATCTTAATGTTTCAAAGTGCAAACAACGCGTATTTTGATGAGGAATATGCAGACATTCTAAGAATATTCGAAAACTTACTCGGTATTTATGCAATTTTGTTGTTTATGCAACTTTGTTAATCAAGTGTCGCCCCCATCGGAATGTCGCTCCAGCGGACTGGCTGCTGATTGGCTGCTGTATTTGTTGCCTCCAAGTGCATAAAAGAGGCCACAGATGACCAACAATTTTCAGTACTCCTGTAACCGTCAGGGGTACTGTTACGCGTAATTTCTGTTTCAGATTCTCTGATTCTACGATGCTGACTGGTATCGCCGATTGGTATAATACATACATATATTTATATTTATATAACTAATACCATTATTGTGTTTTCTATTTATATATAGGGATGTATTATTTCGTTGTTTCTGTTCGTCTCTCCAATAATTCATTCGTTTTTTCTTTCAGCTTTTATCTACATATATTACATCGTTGGGTAGAAATTTTTCCAATTATTCTGTTCTTTATTTTCGACATCGATGGGTTGTTATTTTTCGAATTATTTTCTTCTTCATTCTTTACTTCGTTGGGTTGTGATTTTTCAAATCATTTTGTTCCTCATTATTTTCATCGTGGGGTTGTTATTTTTTCACTTATTCTGTTTTTGGTTATGTTGATTGTTTATTTGTATTTGTATTTGCCCCTATATTTGTTCGTATAATTAATTATAATTTGTGTGTCTAACTACTAATTTTTATTTTAGTTTTTATTCAGATCAATTTTTAGAGGGAGGACTTCGGATTCATCTGCACGTAAGAACATTAAATTTAAGGCGCAGCGCGAGTGTAAAAATTAACGTCGAATATTTCTTTTTCCTTTCTTTCTCATTCCCATGTTTATTTCAATTCCTTAATCTCATTAATTCCACCTACGACGTTAATTTTCAATTTACATTGTATATTATTTTATTTACTGCGTAGATTGCCAAGTGATGAAATAATTAATAGCTTCTTTTCCAGTCTCGTTTCTCCGGTCACCGCTGCTTTAATGTAAAAAGCAAGTGATCGGCCGTTTAGATGGTTCGAAGGGTCGGTTGCCGTCCTCTGGTGGGACAATTCTAGGGAAAGAGTCATCGGCCGTAGAGGGGACCTGTTCCTGTCTGCGGTAGCCCGGATTCAGGATCTCTCTCCTTTGTCAGCCATCCCGAGTTGGGTCCCGTGGGCTCCCAGCAGGATGCGTAGGAGAAATGGAGAACCCGTGTCTGGTGCGTCGATTCTCTTCCCCTTCAATTGGACTCGCTGAGAGGCAACGAGCTGCCCCTTTTGACCAGCTATTCGGTACGTGTCGCATCTCATGTTCCTACTGCACTGTGCAGTATTGTGTCGCGTTTCGTCGTGTCGCGTCTCCCACAATATAGCTTCCTCCTTTGTTTTAGAACAGTAATTACTTGGCATCTTTTTTTTTGCGTAATCTAAGTGTGTAAAAAGGAAGGTCGACCGAACATTGTTCCATCGATCTCACTTTGGGTCTCCATTCGCAGCAACCTCCTCGTGGTGAGACCTGGTAATCGGTGTTACCTTTGAAGAAGAAATTCTTCATTATGGGTAACACCGAGCTAATGGCTGCGAATTTAAAAAAATAGAAATTTGACTTTTAATCTGAATCAAAATGAAATGTTGTCTAATACTTTTTTCTAAGTATTCACGAGCTCAACTTCTAGAAAAAATTTCAATGAGATAAGTTTTACTATTGTAAAAGTTATGATCGTTTGAAAATTGACAATTTTTCTGAGCAATTTGAGATGAAGAATTTAATTGAAGATTTCCGTTCAAACAAAATCAAAGATGGCCAAGAAGATGGTTGACGAGCAGCGGCCAAGGGACAAAACGGTCTTTTTAAAGACCAAAAAAATCTCATATTTGGGAACAACTTATGTAATAAAACTGAGCATGGTATATTTGCCTATATAGACAAAAAATTTACAAATACAGATTGAATTCGATATTAAATAAACATTCTTTGTTATAGAATCAAAGAATTATTATTTGAAATAATAGAACAATTAGAAAATAAATCGTGACTTTGGTTATACGTATGTGCCTACATAGCTCGAAACGTAAAAATGGCAGAGTAGTCGAGAATTCGAAATTGTCTGCCGCGAAGACGGACTTCAGCCGTTCAAGAGCAAGAAGGAAAGGAAAGGAAAGGCCGTTCACGTTCTTCATCGATTGCCCGAAGTTGGATGAAGTGCTGACCTGGTGTAACATGTGGCTCGTGAGGTAGGATATGTCGGTTTTCCCCACCATTCCGTTAAAAGCTAAGGAAGTTCGTCGTCACTATTGTCGATTTCGATGCATTCGATTATGCCCGATCTGGCCACGGTGGGTTACATGTATTTATTGTATTTATGAACGAATGGACACAACTTTATGGTTGAATTTAAATAACAAAAAGCTCAAGTACCATCGGATGAGAGTATCATCAGTGAGAGAATCAAGGCCGCAAGCTCGCCCGATCTGGCTGCATTTTATAACGATCTTTTTCACGAAAAAAATGTTCTATTCTGCTCTTAAATACGGTATAGCAGGAAGCATAATGTTTCAATACACAAGATTGGGATTCTGTTTATTGATATTATCTGCCTTCGTTGATCATCCTTGAGCAAATTAAAAGTTGTAATTGAAAATGTTACGCTTTAAACTTTAGCATTTTATCGTAAAGTATAAGACCAGTTTGTTATTACGGAAAAAATGAAACATACGAGTGTTCTTTATTCCCATGTTTTTCGTCGAGTACGTAGTATCAAAATTCTGTATTCGATTTAATGGACAAAATGCATTCTTTTCAACAATTATGCTCCCTTTAAAAATAGTTTCGCTGCAAATAGTTACCAATCTGATGTAAAAATAATTATATAAAAGAGAAAAATATAAATATGTTGATCAGTATATGGATGATGCATTTTAAAGGCCTGTAGTACACCTACAGCAGAACTCTAATGTATGCTGCACAAAGTTTTTCGTTTATTATCTCTCCTGGTGGATCTTCTCTGCAACAAAGAAAATTTTATAGAGGATGGCAATGATCGAAACATTATATGCCAAATTTTCGCACCACGCGTAGACTGCAGACGCCAACTTTTGATACAGTATTAGTAACATTTATTTTAGCACACAAAATATCACATATTGTGCTTCTACGCTTGGTAAGTTATAATTTACAAGAAAAAAGTACAAAGTAACTCAAGCTCCTCCAGACTAATCATCGTTGTATGTTTGTTTTCAGATAGGAGGATTTTCTTATTATATACAGTATTCCAATGTTCTCCATTTGTATGTCTTACGCGCTATGGAAAGCTATTATCGATTTGCATCTAGGTGGTAAGATTTTTCATACTATATTATTGTTTAATCCGTATAAAAAACGTTTGGAAATCAAAGCAATAATTGGGCTTTCAATTATCCGCGAAAGTATGCAATCTCTTTTCTCATATTCTTAGATTTCTTTTTATTGTAAAATTACTTTGTACGTTTTCAGAGTTGTATAGATTTATGGGAAGTACTAGTTCTCTGGGAGATTATGGAAATGTTTTTAATAACGCATCCTACTCGCAAAAGTAGAGAAAGGAGACTTGCTCTTCAGATGCCAAAAGCCTTGGTATTATGAAAAGAAGGGGTATTTATACCAATCACATCGATTTTTATTTGTTAATGATTAATATGGATTTTATTATTTCCTGGATATTAATGCATTTCAGTGTCCTGATTTGCCAATAATGGATGACGGATTTCGAGGATCGCTTCAACGAGAAAAAAAGTACTTTGAACATACCAACGTGTATGATTCTTTCTGTATATACGTGTATTAAAAGAAAAACATGAAATTTTTATCTTGTACATTGCTCGCCTATAACACGTCGGTTACCGAAGTAATATAAGCGATGATACATTTCCTGGGCGGTTGCGTTATCGTTCGTCTTCCTGTTTGATGAATAAAAAGTCACGATATTACAATTCTTCGTAAGGATCAGTACCAAGTCTTGTAACCGCAGTTAAACTTCACAGAATGGACGTTAAGGCAATATTCCTGCTGTTTATAGCCGTAGCATATGGATATAACGTAGACAAACTCTTTCAAATTGCTTTCTCCAGCAATAAAAACGATAGTTACTTCGGTTATACCGTGAATTTGTACCACGAGCCAGTTAACAATACATCTTGGTAACACACGTTGCTTCCTGCGTTAAATAATTTTAAGAAAATCATCTTAAATAATTAATTTTGCGTAACCGGAAGGTTGATAGCTGGAGCACCGAGGGCCAACTATACCGAAAAGAGATTAGAGCATATAATCGAACCCGGTGTTGTATTTCGCTGTAACGTAGAGGACTACGAGTGCACGGAAATACAATTAAAGGTAAAAGAGAACGAATTGCCATATTCCTTGAGGCAACGGAAGGCAATTGTAATGAAGAACCACGGTTGGTTCGGGGCTGCTCTGTCCATAGAGAGGTCCAATGGTGTATTAACGGTGAGTAGGATCGTTCTTTCCGTTCCCTATTATGTTTACTTTAAGTAACATGAATTCCAGGTGTGTGCTCCTCGAACAAGTGTAAGGATTCTGAATACAGGAAGCAACCCTTTCATCAATATGCGTGGAGTGTGTTACAATGGGAAGATTTCTTCGCCCCTGTCGATCGAGGACGAAAATATTGATCTTACTTGTTGCGTAATCAGTATTATTGTTGTTAACGAACACAATAAACTCTCGATTTAAGGGATGTCTTAAGTTTCTCAATCTATTCTGGAGATTTGTTGAATATCAGTAAAAATTTTGCAAGACATAAATAGTAAATCGAGATTTTACTGTAGCCTTTGATCGTCTCTGACCGTGATACGAAAAATAATGTTTTTCCTTTCACTCGATTAGATTTAGAATCCTACGAAACGAATGGTTTCTCGATCAGTTATGCGTCGATGAGGGTACGTAAGTTCTACAGTGTAATATTGTGATAACTACGCGTTAATATCGCTAAGCTAACTCACGATAAAATGTAGCAGAACGAAGATAAGGGGAAGAAAAAAATTGGACGTATTGTTGGGAATCCCGCGTTCCAATTAACTGGCAAGGTGAATATAATTCATTCGAACAAATTAACGTCCCTCGTACTATCAGGGGGCCAAGGGGTGAAATACTTCGGTGAGTTTATTATTTTATAAATTTAATTTCTCTAAATTGAATGTGTGATATTGTGCTTCAGGTTATAGCGTCGAAACCGGGTATTTCTTCAGAAAGAATCAATTACTTTATGTCGGTGGTGCTCCAAATTGGAAACACGTGGGCCTGGTAATCGAAGTATCTTTTTAACTCTACGAATAAGTTTATTCCTAAGTAAAAGGAAATCTCTTCTCAGGTAGAGGTGATCGGTGTAGAAAGATATTCGACGGATGCCACGGAGCTACGTGGTACCGACACAGGCGAGTTCTTTGGGGGAAGCTTGGCCGTAGGTGATTTAAACAACGACGGTCTGGACGATCTTTTGGTTGGGGCCCCCAATTGGGGACAAGATAACGGCAAAGTGTACGTGTATCTTGGTACATCGAAGGTGAGAACACCAAACGATACGAAATGTTACATTATTAACGCTAACGTGTTTCACGTTTCTCGAAAGGGGCAATTTGAAACTGTCGCGCCTTTGCAAGGAGCCGCCAACGGAGGCCATTTTGGATACGCAATTGCTAGCGGTGATTTGGATGCTGATGGATTCGATGGTAATTGTCTCTTGATCGTCGAACGTGTTTTATAGTAATTAGCAAAACTGAACACACAAGTGACATTTAAAAAGAAATAATTTCTTCAATATTTGCATATAGAATACAAAGACAAAATACTTAATATTACCTTAGTCAAATATTGAATAAAAAATTATTTTTATTAAAATGTATATGTGTTCAGTTTTGCTTTTCACTGTATATCTTGTAAAATCAGTATTTTAAAACACGGCAGATATAATCGTGGGAGCACCCTGGGAAGAATCTGGAGCGATTTATATATATAACGGTGGTCCAGATCTGAAACATAACAAGTTACAAGTATCAGAACGAATCGATGGGATTAGTTTGTCTAATTCAATTTATCCGGTGAAAATACAGACCTTTGGATTCTCGTTGTCCAAGCCCATCGACATTGACGGAAACGGGTTGGTGTAATTCGTCTAACTCGATGATAGAAAATTGACGAAGTATAATAAAATTATTTTCAACCTGTTTAGATATCCAGATATCCCGGTAGGAGCGTATAAAAGTGGGCATGCTATAGTGCTTCTCAGTAAACTGGTCGTGAAAACGGAACTTGTGATTCGCGCTGTACCCGATGCTTTGGACAGAAACGCGAAAAAATTCGTGATCGAGATATGCCCGCGATACTATGGGCATAACATAAAAAATGTGCAAGGTAATTCGCACAAATTCTTGCGTGGATTTACTATTATTTAAATTAAATATGTTCCTTTAGATACAGAATCTAAGATTACGATCACCGTGGACGAACAATACAGGCGGACCAAGGAAACATTTCTGGAGTTGAGATCCCCTAATTTAACACTATTTAAATGTTTACAAGCCACGGTCAAAATTCTGGTAACTATTTTTATATCCATCGTAGCTTCACTTCCATTTGATGTAACTTATTTTACAGAAGAATATACGGGACTTCATCGAACCGATCAGTATTTTTGCTAAACACGATTTTGTATACAGCAAAGCGTCATCTGGCAGGTTCTGTAAATTCTGTCCTGTAGAACGAAAGGATAACAAGTTAAACGTTGCTCAAATCTTGCTTCCTTTCAATATCGGCTGTGGAACAGACAAAGTCTGCCACTCTAATATATCTGTATCTGCAAAATTTCATGGCACGCGGTAAGGACAGATCTATTATAATCTTGTTGGCTTTGTTAATTTGGGAGAATTTTTTTTAGGGGTGACAACACGTGGATCATCGGTTCAACTGGTATAAGCTTAGAAGTTAATTTAAAAAATTATGGGGAACCTGCATATCTCACCACACTGGAGTTCACACTTCCCAAAGGAGTACTGTTGGATAGCATTTTACCCTCTTGTCAGGAAGATACGTCTAAAGAGAACCTAATTATAGTGTGCGAAGCGGGAAACCCCCTCTGGAAAGAAGAGGTATTTTAGAGGGAGATTCTAGGGGCCAAAATAAGACGAAAATCAAGAATACCAATTTGTCGATGGAGGCTTTGTTAAGAAGTTATTAACAGTTTCGCTTGTACGGAAGTTGCCTCTCTATAGGCGCAACTGTTAATAACTTTTAAACGAAGCCTGAATTAAAAAATTACTATCCTTGATTTTTGTCTTATTTTGGCCTCTAGAACCCCCCATTAAAATTTTTTCCAAGGTTGAGGCTTCGTTAAAAAGTTATTAACAGTTTCACCTTACGCAAGTTGCCTATCTAGAGGCGCCATTGTTAATAACTTTTTAACGAAGCCTCAACCTTGGGGAAAATTTTAATGGGGGATTCTAGGGGCCAAAATAAGACGAAAATCAAGAATAGTAATTTTTGAATTCAGGCTTCGTTAAAAAGTTATTAACAGTTTCGCTTGTACGGAAGTTGCCTCTCTATAGGCGCAACTGTTAATAACTTTTAAACGAAGCCTCCATCGACAAATTGGTATCCTTGATTTTCGTCTTATTTTGGCCTTTAGAATCCCCCATTAAAATTTTTCCCACGGTTAGCCTAACACCCCATATACTAAATGTATACATATATCGTTACAGAAAACCATTACACTTGACTTGGACATGAAACACTTAATTCGTGGCTCTTTGCACGAGCATAAATTAAATTTCGACATAGTAATAAAAACTCGTAGCATGAATCAAGGAACACTAAATATAACTAAAACACTCGATCTGGCAAATGAAGTATCGTTATCCCTAAACGGGTTCGTACTCTTTATAAATCCTCCCTTTATAAGTATATGTTTTTCAAGTGTCTCGTTTTTCAGGAAAGCGAACGATGAAATGTACTATGTGTCTGCTATGAACAATAACGCTTCGAACGTCAGCTTCCAACATACTTATCAGGTGTACAAACTTGGTGTTACACCTATAGAAGACGCACGACTTGTTGTTAAAGTACCAACAGTTATTGAGCATTCGAAACCTTTGGTGCACGTATATAAACCTCAGGTAAGAAATGTTTAATTTATTAGTTATATTTTTAAATTTTATTATTAATATTTTCATGTTTTTAATTTTGTTAGTTATATGTATCGGGAGAGGGTTTCGAGTGTTTCTCAGAAGATGCTTTGTTGGATAGTCAACTGGTCGAAATTAAAGAAAAACCATCGTTAGATGATGACACTGATGGAGATCGTATGATACAAAAGAGAGATATAAACGAAAAAAACATTGAATTCTACAATATAGAGACTACTGAAATTTTGCAGACTAAGAACGACAACTTGACGGCTGATATTCTATATATGAATTGTTCGAACACCGATGAAAATTGTACGATCATAGAATGTAATTTAAATGCATTGCAAACATTCCAAGATGTCGGGAAGTTGACGATCAAGCTTCTCTTAAATGTTGAAAGACTCAAAGGTAATTTGTTTACGCTGCGCCTTTGTTTGCTGTAATTAAAATTTATTCAATTTCACAATCAATTTGCTCAATTTCAGATATCTCTGTGAACAATAAAGTGGTTTTATATTTTGGTACCGAAGCTAGCGTGGAAATAATAAAACCAGCTGTTAGTCTACCGATTAATGGTACCCGGTAAATGTTCACATTTTTTTTTAAGTATTTGTTGCAAGATTCGTAAAGGTAAAATACTTTTCAAACGCGATAAATCTGTTTTAGATCGACGATGGAAATTTTAACAATATTTTACAATAATTTTGAAACCGAGGAACTACAATTGTGGATCATTTTAGTTTCCGTTTTCGTAGGGCTTCTACTGTTGATCATTTTCGTCGTGATCTTAAGCAAAGTAATAACTCTTTTTCAATTACAAATACCATTAAAAAATTTTGCAATTACTACTAATATTATTTTCCAAACAGTTGGGTTTCTTTAAAAGGAAAAGAAAAGAAGACTATTTACTAAACAGTGAGCAAAAAATCAACGAAAAAAGAAAAGGATCTACAGCTAAAAACGACGACGAATAGTGTCTACAGAAAAATTCAAATAAATATCGTGATAAAATTAAACGGTCTTGTTTACCGTATTTAATAAAGTTTTATTTTTTTTTTCTTACATCTCGTTCAATGATCCCTACGAAAATCTCAAACTTACGTATACAAATATTTATTCTCGTTAATCACGTATTGTGTATTTACATATTTCTATCGTATTCAAAACGTTTCAACTGAAAAGAACGAACGCATAAATTGCAAAAATACATCTCAAAAATCACGTACATCGACATGCCGCGCATGAAATTTTTTTGTCCGAACGAATATGAAAATGTACAAAACGTTCACGATCGGCCATTTTACGGTGCATCGGTGGAATCGTCAACGACTGAGTAACGGATAGCAAAATGGCGGTATTTTTTGTACGGTGTCAACAAAAAAAAAAATCAACAATACGAAAGAAATTCGATTCGACGAGCGGTCCCTAAAAAAAAAAAAAAAAAAAGAAATTCGACGGAAAAAATATCTCTTTCGTCGGGGTCTTCCATGAAAATCTGTACAGAGTGTGAACATAAACTATTCTCTCGGCTCGAACGTTCCAAATCTCGATCTCGTTCCACCCAACCGGAAACGACGATCTCGCGGATCACGAAAAGACGAATCCGCTCGAATCAAATCGCGTGGATTTTCATCCACGTTTTACAGTCTTGTTTTTCCATATATTTTACGTTAATTACGTCTGTCATTATCATTATCATTATCATTATCATGTGTCTTCGCAGGAAACACACGCCTGGACGCCCGCGGCCGTTGCTTTCGTCTGACCGACGCTAGGCGCCGCGGACAAATCGGTTCGTGGATTTCGGGGAGCACATGATGCACGAAGAAAGCTCAAGTCAGATTTCATTTTGTGCGATACTAACGTTGGGTATTGTCTTCGTATTGACGCCTGTTATATGTTTTTAGATGCATCATGTTCGTCGTAGCGTAATTAGTCATGGTTGCGACAAGCTACGACGAGAAAAGAGACCGCAAACTTGCGTGGTTCGTCTCCGGTGCACATCCATTTTGTTTTTTTAACAAAAGTCTCAATATGAACTGATATTCATCGGGACTCTGTTCTCTCCTTCTCTCTGTTTTTCGTTGTCTATTTGATCTTCACGTCGTAACAAACTTCTGTGACGAAAGTCAGCCCCGATCATTTTCAGCATCGACTGCTTTTTTGCATGATCAAATGCTAACTGCGTTTCTTCTGGATATGCGTGGGGGGAGGGCCAGGGATGATCCGTTTCGTTGCATGCGCGTCACTACTCACGGACGCCGTTAAATAATTTATGGTCACACGTTGTACGCTTGTCTTTTCAGACTCACGAATTACAGCATATTTAGAGAAAAACAATGCAAACGACGACGAATGATAACAAGAGTACATTCGTGTGTACGATACGCGATAAATGTTCAACGCGAAGAGCTGATGTAATGTTCCAACGGGTATCTCGTCGAACACACACGGAATTTCATTTATTTATTTTCCTTGTAGCAATTTTTATACTGAAAAAAAAAAAATCTTGCGTTACAATAGACATCTCACGTACCCATTGAAACATTAAAAGAGTTGTCTCAGGAAAATATGACCTCTCATGATCATATAGTTTTTCTTATCGTCATATAAACTAGTCTATCGAGTACATAATGATGCTTATTCCAATGAAGATATCACAATCGTAATTTACATTCATCAAACGCGGGCACAATCATACTATTTTCAACAATTATTCAGTGTCGATCGAATGGGTTCTATTGCCATAAATCAAATACTAAAAATACTAAACCAATAACACCGACAATAGCAAAATCTAACAATCTGTATGCTTCGACAAACATGAATATAAAGTTCTTACAATGAAAACTTCTTTTTAAAAAAAAAAAAGAAGAATAAACATCATTATGTATATATGTATAGGGATATTTGAATTGGCAATAACAGGGTCTAAGTATTACTTATATCCTAAGTATTGGATTTCCGATGTTCGATTCGCATACTTTGATAATTGGGAAGTATCTAAAGGTACACTTATAAACAATCGTATATTAAAGATTAGAACAAATAGATTTAAGCCCGTATTCGTCTAATACACAAAAATAAAAACAAAGGGATAATTTGCCCCATTTTTTTTCTTTTTTTATCAATTTAAAACTGATCGTTAAATTCTAATCTCGTTTTGAGTTCGTATCATAATCTGAACGAAGAACAGTTTCGCGTTTTTATACCGCACGCAACGTGTGCCGCAGAATTTTTTCGTTACGAGTACAATTTTCACATACATCGTTGAATTTCTAATAGGAATGTATCGTAAACATTTCGTTTGATCGTAACAAAAAGAAGCTCGTTGGGTCCATGTAACTAATGCAAACCGAATACGAAAGAAAATTTATCTTCTCCTTCTTTGTTTCTCAATTTATAACGAACTTCTTCTTGCTCGCGGCAGACACGCGTTGCAGCGACAAAGAACGACTATTTGGGTGGTGAAAACAACTGGAAAATATCAAAGTAAACATACAAGATATAATTTACTAATCCGACCGAATTTCGCCGAGCAAAAAGAGAAAATCGTCGACACCCCCAAATTCCCTCTGCGTCTTTGTTCAGATCGTGATGCAGAAGCACCCGTGGTATCGTAGAGCATGCAGCAGAAAAAGAACAATGAGTAGAATTGGAACTTCTTTTCGAATCTTACTTTTTCCCCCACATTGTACTTTTTTACTTGTTAAATGCTTCCCGTGGTATCTGTCCCCGTTTGAAGAACTCTTGAAATGCCGCGAGCCCGTTGTCGTAGTTCCATTGCACTTCCTCCAAACATTTCAGGCTCCATTCGAGATTCATATTCGTTTGTTGGCTGAGCGTCAGGGCCATTTGTTGCTTCACCTCCTCGGGCAACTGAGCCGGCACTGCTGGTTTCCCTATGCTATTGCTGCTCGAAGGTAATGGAGCCGGTGCCAACACTTGCGTCGCCAGCTGTGTATTCAGATGCTTCAGCTGAGAATCCGTTGGCGTGTTGATATGTAACTGTTCGTTTCGAATACAGTAACCACCTCCTTCGGGCCCTATTATGAACGTTCGATTGAAGAAACGAACGGGTTGTTCCTTTTTATCGAGTTCTTTGAACAGACCGGTGACCGTGATCAGCATCATTCCGTCCTAAAAGCATTCGAATAACGTGATTACTATAAAAAAAAATATGCAATCGATCCTTTAACACGTGGAAAAGTAAGATCTTACTGTCACCAGGCCGATGTCCATAGTAAACGTGTTCAAATAGTGAGACGTTTGTGGCATTTCAGAAATGAACGAAACTACGGGCAATCGTCCTTGTTTCAATAGCTTGTGCCTTTTGTTTGTGTCTATTATTCTGTATAAGTTTCTATTCTCCATAAGGTATCCGTATAATCTATAAAAATACGATTAATTTATTAACGAAATACGTAATTATGAAACACTTTTAGTAATAACTTACTTGTTCGTGTTTTGGGAGTAAGATATAGTCATGCTAAAACACGCGTGTTCGTTATACGCATCTAACAATGGTTGACGATTCCCACTATCAAATATGAGAAAATATTGTTGGAGAAATTGATTAGCAACTTCTAGCGCTTTCGCGTTCGCGACGAACATCCTCTGAGGTGATGGCATTTTATTTCCGTCGTCCGCTACGTCGAACACGATTGGTTTTGGTAGTTCCATATCGTCCTTTTTCAAGCATACAAGACAGAGACATCCAATTAGGTTGAATATTAATTAACGACAAAGTGCAATGGTTACTCACCAGCCGTAAGAGTTTGGGAAACCGTTTCCGCACGTCGCTATGGTCGGGAAAGAAAAGCCAGAAGCCCGGAAGCTCCAAGTTAGTTGTAATAACAGAAACATTTGCCTTATTATTGAAGAAATATAACAACAAAGGAAATACACAGACCATTCGATAAACTTCCAGGGAAAATTATTCTCGAATTTTTTTTAACGATCAATCTCATTTAATTTTATGTATTATTAATGTCAAATGAAAAATAAATTGTTTCAAGTACGACGAGATTACTGTTAAGCTGCCCAGATTCTGTTCAGAAACTTAATATATTATCTGAACGCTGCATACGTTATCGGCGTAATGGCAGCTTCAGGAAACTTTATCCGCCTGGAGAACTCTTCTATCGAGAGAAGAAAGATAATATTGAAACAATACATTACCTAATATAGTCATTTTGTCGAGTTTTATACTTGGTGCAAACGGGATTTCCTGCCAGTTTCAGCTCCTCCAGCTTTAAATCTTTGAAGGTGTCTAATTGATTTATTTCTTTTATCTGAAATATACAATCCACGCAATAAAACGTATACCGCCTATACAAGGCGTTTCCTTCAACGTGTTTCGAGTATTGCACGAAAGAAATGACGAGACATTCTAGATGCACGTATTAAAGAAAACATCTTGTATCAGGGTGAAACAAAGGAATTGTTTAATTTTGAATTAGTTACCCTGTTGTCTCCAATGTACAGTATCTTTAATTTTGAAAACTTTTTACCCAGGACATTTAACTTTTCGAGTATCTGCAATCTGTTCGCATCCAAATTTAGTGCTTCCAAATTAGGTATGCATTCAGACACAATGTCCAATACTGTTTTTAACATCAGAGGTCGGGATAGCGGAAAGAAATAGTCAGCAACGAGATCTTAAATGGAAAATTACATTTGATCGGTACTACCAAGGTAGCGAAGCAATCACGCTGTAAACTTTAAAGTTTAATTACCAGGGTCTTGATGAAATTTCGACAAGTCCAATGCGTTTGTCTCGGTTACGTATCTTTTAGCCATGGCTTGTTTCAGTCTTTCTTTTAGTTTGCTATCTATTTCGCAGTACGGAAATCCTTCTTGCGAGACCCTCACTTGTAGTTTAAATCCATCCGTGATCGTGATTTTGTTATTACAATTAATAAGAGCGATCGCTACTTTCATATCGTCTATGTAAAAACTAGCTTCGTTTCCAACTACCTCGTACTGTTGACAAATTTTTACACAATGTAAAAAGTTACAGTATGTTTTTAATCGCAGAAAATATTTAAAGTGTTTATCCTTACTAATATCGGGACAAACGTTTCCGGCGCAATATAACTAAGAAGGTTATTTAATATATAATCTTTATCGTATTTGTGTCCGTACGGTATCTGCGAATAGAAAAGGAAAAAAATTGTACAGCCTGCGGCGAACCAAACTGATCGCCGTAATCAAATTCTATCCTTACAGTAATTTTATAACAAGTAGGTTCGAAAGCATGAAGCTGTTTGAGTCTTGGAGGCATTTTTCCTCCCCTGTACGATCTCGAAGGCAAAGAGTTTACTCTTTCGCGAATGCATTTTCTTTCGCTGATGGTGAAATCTCTGCTGTTGTTGTTAGAACTTGTCGCCATTTGAACATCGTCGTCCAAACACGACAATGCCAGATTTTTCCGTATATTCCTAGCAGCTCTCGCTATAATGTTTTGTTGCGTTTTGAACGTTACTTTCGGCCTGCTTCCATGATACGAGCCATCGTTGTTTCTTTGCACACGAATATCGTGACCTGCGTGAAACAGAGAATTTTTTAAGCTACGAAACAATAATCGTACGTGGATCATGGAACAATGAACGTGTTAACGTGCACAATAAATGCATAACGGCGTAAAAAAACTATACCGAAATAGTGTTTGTCGTCCTGGTTGCCGGATCTTCCACCACGACCGCCCCATCCGGACTTATGCGGTTTTCTCGACATTTTTTACAGTTTAACAATATTCGATCACAAGTGAAACGTATCTATCATTGCCAAGCATTTACAGGTTAGGAAACAATAGACTACGCACTTAATCGAATAGCGTTTGATCGATTCTTAAACCAGTGTGGCGACACTTCCCACAATCGTCAACAGAGGGATACGTCCATCTGTACCACTTTCATAAATATTTAACCAACTTATTCGTATAAATATATATTATTTAACGTTTCTAACAAGGCTTCGCCTTGTTACAGTAGAACAGAACTATTTGGTCAGGCCCAGGGCGAAACGCGTATCCTCCCCCTCCACTCTTTTTTTGCCTTTCTTTTTTTTCCTATTGTATATCACTTATTTCTTACGTCAATAAACCGCCACACCTAATAATAACGATAACGATAACGAGTTAACGACCATGTGATCCGTTAACATATTTTTCTTCTTTTACCGAACATAGAAACTAATGTTTCACGTAGCACAAAAATTTTCCTCCAACGAACCACGAGAAGATGGCGGCCTACTGTGTAAGTGCGCAGTTGGACCAATAAGAAAAATCGCGCACTGAAAACGATCTTTGAATAAAGAAACACACGCGTGATCTTTTTAAATCGTAATTCCATTGGGGAAAAAGGCAATATCAATTAATTTTCTTTAAACTTGTGTTCATTTTATTCGTATTTAATAAGCATAACTTAAATAGCGTAAGTTGGTACTGATGCGAAATGAAATAGTGTATAGTGAGAACCTGGACGCGGGTTTCCATGTGCTTTGTAACACTTTAATTTGACAGATTAATCTTTGTTCAAAGTGTTACGGCACTTTCGTTTGTAAAAGGGAACAAGATACTGTACACTGAACGTCAATGGTAAATATTTGAAATTATTCTATGTTGTACTCCGTCCCGCGATAAAAATTTTAGGTTATGTTTTTAAAGGGCAGTTTATGATGATTCTGACAAAGTTTAAAATTTTTTTTTATTTCCACTTTACAGGGGAAAACTAAAAAGACACGAAAGTTCGTGATGCAAAAGTTTGCACAAATGAAGAAGATGATAAGTTTAAGCGACTCGAGAATGTAAGGCCTTAAACGATAATTATTTGTTTACGATCGTTTACTATATGTTTCTGTGTTTAGAAAGCCTGAAAAGCGTGCACCACCGAGGAAAGCTAAGAAGGAAGATCCCACGCGACTCAAAGTAACAGAAGTGTAGGTATCGAGAATCTAATATTTTACTGGGAATATTAAAATATATTGCGATATATATTTTTACAGGCCTCAACAGTCCTCGGCATTATTCTTTCAATATAACACCCAATTGGGTCCTCCTTACCACATTTTGATAGACACAAACTTTATAAATTTTTCGATAAAGAATAAATTGGACATTATAGAAAATATGATGGAATGTCTCTATGCAAAGTGCATACCGTATATAACGGATTGCGTTATGGGGGAATTGGAGAAACTTGGACAGAAATATAAAATAGCATTAAAGATCGTGAGGGATCCCAGGTTCGAAAGATTAAACTGCTTGCACAAAGGCACATATGCGGACGACTGTATCGTCAATAGGGTGACTCAAGTAAGGATGATTATAGTTTCAAGCGGAGTTAGTGGAGTTAATATTGTAATATTTCAGCACAAATGTTATATCGTGGCAACGAACGACAAGGACCTGAAAAGGAGGATACGAAAAATCCCTGGTGTGCCTATAATGTTCGTCTCTCAGCACAGATATAACATAGAGAGAATGCCGGACGCATACGGAGCACCCAAGAAATAGTTACTTAATTTTATAATTTTTTTATTACCTAGGTGTATTTAATAAACTGTACATTTTATCAAGAAGTGTGTATTTTTCTCTTTAAGGATAAATGTATGTTAAGTATCGCCGCGTTTTATCGCGATGCAAACTGATGAAACGATTGTTCGAAGAGGTTGCGGTGGTGGCTTTTATTTTGAATACGATTCGGAAGTACGGCGCGACACCCGAAGATAAAGCAGCCCCCGAACGTGTTACAGTTATTGTTCGGTGAAACAATGAAACTGTTGCGTGTAACGCCCACGTGGCGCCCTGGAAACTGATAGAATTTTACTGTTTCGCGGCCGATGCTTGGCCCGTATATGGCAGCAGCCGCGAAACAACGTTAGAGAGGTGGGCGCGCGAAGGGGCCGTTTCGCGTGAGGAACGATCGCGGGCGGGGCCCCGCGAAATAAGTCGTTACAAAGCCCCGCTAAAGATCCATCCTCGCTCACGGGAAAGATGCAACGCTGGATAAAGGCCCGAGTTAGCGATCGTTACGCTTACCTACGCGGAAAACGATCAGATTTCCGGTCGGATCGTTACCGCTCCGCGGATCGCGATACCGGAGCCGGATAAGATTTATGAAGCTCGCCTCTCGGACACGCGTTACGTTGATCGGGTAATTCGTCCTGAGGATCGCTGTTCGCGAATCGAACGCGGGGGAAGCGTAATACCTGTCGGCGTAATGGCGCGTTCCGAGAACGATAATTGTTACGATACTATTCCGATTAGAATCTCACGACGTTGCACACCTGTTTCGGGCGAAACAAACTTGCGATCATTCTATTCGCAAATAAGAAAATATTAAATATTAAATATTAATAATTAAATATTTTTAAAGAAAAATAAAGTTGTTTAGATCAAGTGAACGTTACAATTAGGTATACAGACTTGCTTAGATTATGAGACTATACATATAAGTAATGATACGATATTTTCATTTATACCGAAACCTATAAATATTAGAATTTCTGTATTTTTATAATAGGTTCGAGAGTACTTCGCGTACCACTACTACTGAGAGTGCAATTGGCTGACTTTTCACTGTTATTACTACTTGTTTTCCGAGGAACACGACACAAGTTTGTACATGGTTTTTCGTACTTTAACATCGCGCCCTAAAATATAAATTGTATTCCAGGCTCGTTCGGATAAATGTCAGGATCTCTCCGTCGTCTTTCGGATCCGTAACCTTTCTAATATCGTGGACCAACAAATGGCACATGCTCGCGCGTTCCTGTACCGCTGAACGTCGGATATTAATCACGCGCGTACTAGCGGCGCATCCTGCCGCACCCTCCCTCGCGACAAATACTTCGAATTAACCCTCGGCAACCAGGAAGCGACGCTGTCGAACGCGTACACCGACAATTCCAACGATAAACGACATTATCTTACAAAATGGACGCATGGACAAACGGGTGGATTAAAAGTAGAATTTTATAAATTTACAGGGAGGGAGCATTTAGGGGATGATTACTAATTTCCTTCTGCATTCCCCGCTGGATAACGACTTCTCAAAAACATTCGAGACCCAACCGCCCAGGTATTCGTTGCGTCCTTGTCCGGTCGATGCAACGTCGTTCGATCACCTTGGTTTCCGTGGAACAGGAAGGGCGAAAAAGGAGAGAATTCCGGACGCGTCGTTTGAATCGCCACGCATTAGGTCATTGCATAAGTAATTGTCACTTCTTGCGTCGCATTCCTCGCGTCTATTTGGAGGACTTGTTAGTATAATTTCAATTGTCCGCCGCACTGGTATTTTTGGAAAGTAACCCCTGCAACGAAATATTCATTTACTGATAATGCGTACAATTTACATTTTTAAATTATAAATGTGGTGGTCAGTCTTACCTCGATGCTGCTACCTGAGAGTTCACCTAAAAAATAACAATAAATCAGAATGATAAAATTAAAAACATTGTTCTAATAATATACATATATGAATCTTTTTTTTTTTAGGTCACATGCACCTTGTTGGTTATTAGTGACCACAATTGAGTTATCTGGTGGAACTGATATTTAGAGCAATTGGTATACTTTAATGTCTTTTAATAAATTTAAAACTTTTTTTAAAATCTGAATGAATTATGTGAATTATGTAGCTTATGTTGCCCAACTAGAGGTAGAGATATCATGAATTTTTTTTTTTACCAGCACCTGGTGAAACTTTGGGCCCTACCTCGCGGGACACCGTGTACACCCAGAAAACTGCTCGATTCCTTGTCTACGAAACGCGTGGCTCGGAAGAGCCGCTATCGACTTGTTCGTAGATAAGCCTGGCTGCGTCGTGGGACTTTTCTAGCACTCTGCACTTACCAGCGGGGCCTGATATATCGCCGGTACCCACGCAGCGCCGGGTACCCAGTAAACTAGATTAAAGGAAAACACCGGAGTGAATCTGGTCCCGCGAGCGAAAAACGTACGAGAAAAGGGGAGTGGGGGGGGGGGACCGACGTAAAGTTCGGAACGTTCGATCGTGGTAACGGATTAGTTATAAAAGTGGCTGTAAGTCCTATACGCGGATATATATCCACGGTGTATCGTGGTCTTCTGGGCCTCTCTTCTTTCCTCCGCCTCTGGCTCCTCTCTTTTTCGCCCCACACCCCTGTCGTTCTGCCCCTCGCCCTCCCCCCCTCGATAGTTCCCCTCCTCCCCCCACGCATTATTCATCTCAGTAGTCCCGTCCTTGTCCGCGTCGTTCTAAACGCGGCCCCTCTTCGTTCCTCCCCCACCCTGTCCTTTTCCGTTTCAGGGCCCGAACGGTCCCTCTTTCTCGCTCGCGTTCGCCCGTGAGCGGTCCCCGTCGTCGCAGAGAGCGCTCCACGGCGGCGGCGGCGGCCATCTTGCATACCTGAGCCTCCGCATTGCTCGTTCCTCGAGGGCAAAAGGGAGAATATCTCAGCGCGAGACGACGCGCCGGGATGTGCGAGGATAGAGTCAGAAGGTGGGAGGATAACGGCCGGGGACGGGGACGGGCGAACGAAGGCGCTGTGCAGGACCCGCGAACCGTGGGGGAGGGGGGGCCGGTGGGACCAACGGGAGGGGAGTCGGGGCCCGGTCGGGGCAGCGTGGCCCGAGGTAGAGAAGGAGAAACGCGCTTGCTGGAGCGAGACACCGAGATAGAGAGAGAGAGAGAGAGAATCGCAGGGCCCACGTGAGAGACGAGGACGGAGAGGGGCCCGCGAATGCTTCGCCGGACGGAGACCGAAAAAGCGAAACCGAGAAGGACGGGGGGACTAGAAAAAAGTAGAAAGAGAGAATGATCGAGGCGAAGGAAAGAGAGGGGAGATCAAAGGCACGTCGAGTCGGAACAAGAGGAGAGATATCGCGATAAAGGGTAGCGACGCGAGTGTGAGAGAGACGAAAGCCGAGGAGAGTGGCTTCCAAGTGGGAGGGACGAGGAAACGGGAAAGGTTTCTTTTCGAGGAAAGAGAAAAAGCGATATCGATGGAAGGCTCGCGAGCGGGGGTCGAGGAGGCGGCAAGATGGCGGAGGGGGGTCGGAGGAATGAGGGAAGAGCGAGAGAAACGGAAGCATACGGTGGGCCCGATGGATCGGAGAGGGACGGACGTCGTCCAGCCTGAAGAATGCTTCTCCCGGCAGCGGCAAGGTTCTGGGACCGTCTCGGTTCAGTCGAGTCAGGTCAGTCCTCGAGAAGGTGATATTCTTCGTCGTACGTTTCTCGGGGCCTTACGTCGTCGCGCTCACGGCCCACGTTAACTCCTTCTTTTCGCTCGTTTTTTCTCCCCATCTCTCTCTCTCTCTCTGACTCTATCTATCCGCGTGTGTCTCTCTTTCTCGCGTATTCGCGCTATCCTCCTCGTGCGTTCCTTTATTTTTTTTTGTTGTTGTACCCCCGGTGAAACGAACGTCTACGTACGTGGGGGCACGGCACGAGAACCACCTTCGTGCGCGAGTGAGATTCCTTCGTGGTGAACTACGAGCCGCGATTTCGCACGATCCGACGATCTCTCCGTGCCCTCGATGGGTCCGAATTCGCGGTACGCTCGCAACCGGGGCCCCATACCGGACTGAAAACAGTAGTGCGCGCTACTAATCCTCGTGCCCGGATTCTCGAGGTAGTCCGGCGCCCGGTCCACCGAGAAGTGCAGGTTTACGTCAGTGTCCGTCGCGCTGTCAGTGACACGGGGGATAACCGGAGGAGGAGTGACAAAGAGGTGGTGGTTGTGTGCGTGGAAACGGTCGGGATTTCGACCGTAAAAGTTCGCCGGGTTCCGGAGGCGAGCAGCATCTGCCGCGGACGCGTTTCGCGAGGCGCGGCTCCGCGCGGGTCAGTGCCCCCATCGGCTTCACCAAGACTCTCAGCGGGTCGCTTGACTTTGCGCCGCCAAGGGGCGCGAAAAATAAGAAAAGAGAAACGCCTACGATCGCTAGCTGGCGATCGCCGGGTCCCAGAGGGCGATATGGAACACGTCCGCCGTCACCGTCGATAAGAGACCCGTCCCGTGCACCGTGTCTCCGACAGCGACGATGAGGAAGAAGAACGAGAGGTAGTCCTCTCGGGGGATACGTGTCCGCGGGTATTTTTATGTCGTCGAACGCCGGGAGTAATTTGGCTAAGGAAGGGGGCCCGTCGAAGGGACAGAAGAGATGATCATAAGGAGATCGATGGTCCTAGCCCTGGTCCTGGGACTCTTGTCGGTGGACCAAAATGGCGGCCAGGCTAGCGGCGACGAGGAACACGCGGCCGGTTACTATCCGCGCAGCCTACCTCAAAGGGTGATGCGGCTGGTGCCGCGAAGGTCGCCGATGTTACCGCAGGACAGCGCCACGATGGGCCTGGCGATGCAGAGCAGAGCCGTGGACACGAGGGTACAGCTGGAGGTCAGGGAGGGAGAGCCAAAGGGTACGCTGGTCGGTCTCATACCGGTGAAGCCAGGCTTCATCTACAGGTTCAACGAGCCTCCTCAAGAGTTTGTACTAGACCCAGAGACCGGTAAAATTCGAACAGCCAAAGTGTTGGACAGAGAAGCGTTGAGCAGCGACAGGTTCGATCTGGTGGTGCTCTCCAGCCAGCCTACATACCCCATCGAGGTGAGGATCCTCGTGTCCGACATAAACGACAACGACCCCGAGTTCCCGGAGTCGAGCATCGCGGTCAGCTTCTCCGAATCGGCCGTGGTGGGCACGAAGCTGCTCCTGGACGCGGCCACGGACAGAGACACGCCCGAGAACGGTGTCGCGGACGATTACTTCATAGTAGACGGGAACACGGACGGGAAGTTTCGACTGGAGGTGACTGGCAACCCTACCGGTGAAACGTCCTATCTGCACTTGGAGACTACCGGTAAATTGGATCGCGAACAGGTGGAGTTCTACTCGTTGAACGTGTGCGCAAGAGACAGAGGACGACCTCCTAGGCTAGGGTACCTATTGGTGAACGTCACCGTGCTGGACGTAAATGACAACCCACCGATATTCCAGCAGAGCGACTACGTGGTGGCTCTGAACGAGAGCGCCCCGGTGGGCACCAAGGTACTCACCGTCCACGCCACCGACAAGGACTCCGAGGACAATTCGAAGCTCACGTACTATCTACCTGACACGGAGAGACAGTTCACGATAGATCCGGAGACGGGCACGATCACTACCGTGGAGCCTCTGGATTGCCCTCAGCAGAGCTGCACGATCGCGGCCCGTCCGGGCGGCGGTTGCCCGAAGAGCTGCGTCATAACGGTCTTCGGTCGAGATCACGGCTCGCCGAGGCAGGACGGAAGAACCTACGTAACGGTGAATCTATTGGACGCGAACGATCACGATCCCGAAATAAAGTTCAGCTACTATCCGTCCACGCCAGGGTACGCAACTGTGGACGAGAACGCTGTGAAGGACTCGATCGTCGCTGCTGTGGCGGTGATCGACAACGACGAGGGTCTGAACGGCGAGACCACCGTCGAGATTCGCGCGGGCAACGAACTGGGACACTTCAGGCTGGACAACGCGCCCCGTTTCGATATCGTACGCGTGAACGGGAGACTGGACCGCGAGGAGATACCGAAATACAATCTGACCGTGGTCGCCACCGATAAAGGCACGCCGCCCCGTTCCGCGACCGCCTATCTCGTGATCCACGTGAACGATGTTAACGACCACGAACCGGTCTTCCAGCAGAGCGAGTACTCGGCGGTGCTGTCGGAGCTCTCGCCTACCGGCAGCTTCGTCGCCAGTATCTCAGCCACGGACGCGGATTCCGGGCTGAACGCTAGGATTTATTACGATTTCGACTCCGGGAACGAGCAGGGCTGGTTCGCGATCGATCAGGACACCGGTCTGGTCACCACGGTGGCCACGCTGGACAGAGAGGTGCAGGGTAGCATAGAGCTGCACGTGTCCGCCAGGGACGGCGGACCTAATCCCAAGTACGCGTCCACGCACCTCAAGGTCACCATACTGGACGAGAACGACGAGGCGCCTAGGTTCTCGCAGAGTGTAGTGGAAGTGACATTATCTGAGAACACGCCGCCTCAGAGCCTGGTGGCTACGCTGACCGCGGTGGACAACGACCAGGGGACCAACGGAAGCGTCGCGTACAGTTTCCACTCCAGCGTGTCGAGGGACTATCCGAAAACGTTCGCTCTGGACGGACTGTCCGGCCAGCTGACCACGAAGATCGGCCTAGATCGCGAGACCACCGCGGAGTACAGGATCCTGGTGATCGCGAAGGACCAAGGATCGCCGCCGCAAACGTCTACAGCTACGGTAGTCCTGACTCTCGAGGACGTGAACGACAACTCGCCGGTGTTCTATCCCTGGAGGTATCTGATGCCCATACCGGAGGACGCACCTCCAGGAACCACCGTGGGGAAGGTGACAGCGACAGACGCGGACGCCAGGGAGAACGCTCAAGTAAGATACACCTTGGAGTCGGGTGGAGAAGGCCTATTCGCGGTGGACGAACGTACCGGAGAGATAGCTCTTCAGGGTTCCCTCAGAGTCGCCCATAAAACTCTCTACGAACTGAAGATCTCAGCGAAGGACACAGGGGACAGAACAGCTAGCAGGAACGCTCTCGTGGAGATCATACGCGAGGAAGACTTGGAGACTCTGGAGTTCGACACGTACAATGGCTACGAGTTTCGCGTGGCGGAGGACAGGGGCGAGTGCAGCTCGATGCCCAGCGTGTTTGGACGCAACGTTGGGACCGTCCAGGTGACCCAGTACGGGGCCTCGAAGGTCTCTTACGCGATGGTGTACGGGGACCCCAAGGGGAGCTTCAAGATAGACGAGACCACCGGGACTATCAGCACCTCTGGCTGCCTGGACCGCGAACAGGTGGCCTACTACAGCCTCCAACTGTCCGCGAGAGCGGGTCTAGCGTACGGCCAGACTTCTGTCAACATCACGGTGCTGGACGTCAACGACAACCCGCCTAGGTTCCCCAAAGGAGAGATAGGCGACGAGGTGTATCTGAAGGAGAACGCGGCCGTGGGCCAGGAGGTGTGTCTGGCCCGCGCCAGGGATCGCGACGCGGGCGCCAACGCGAGGATAATCTATTCCCTGACGCACAACCCGGGTGGGCAGTTCAGGGTCGCTGAAAACTCTGGGATCATCTACTTGGACAAGCCAGTCAGAGCGGCGCCAGGCACCGTGCTGCACTTGGAGGTCACGGCTACGGATTCTGGGAACCAGCCGCTGTCGGCGCAACACCAGGTCAGGGTGACCATCCAGGACGTGAACGATCACACGCCTGTGTTCAAACTAACGAGTTACGAGACGTCGCTGCCGGAATCGACGCCGGTGAACGATAGATTCTTTTCACTGACGGCCACCGACGTCGACCTCGGCGCCAACGGAAGGGTTTTATACAGCGTTACTGACGGGAACACCGAGGGTCGCTTTGGGATATTTCCTGACGGACAATTGTACGTGAAGAATGTCCTCGACCGAGAGGAACAGGACTACTACGCGCTGGAGGTGATGGCGACCGACCAGGGCAGCCCGTCGAGGAACTCGGTGGTACCGGTGGTCGTGCACATCATCGACGAGAACGACAACGCGCCCGAGTTCACAAATTCTAGCTTCATCTTCCACCTACGCGAGAACGAGCCACCGGACACGTTCGTGGGCAAATTGCTGGCCACCGATCGGGACGTGGGTCGCAACGCGGATCTGATGTTCTCGCTGCCGGCTAGTCAACAGGACTTCATCGTCGACCCGAGGAACGGTTTCATCAAGTCGCTGCGCGTGTTCGACAGGGAACTCCTGGTGACCAACACCGGGAGCAGCTACGTCACCTTGGAGGCGACCGTCACCGACAACGGGGCGAACCGTCTGAGGGATCGGGTCAAGGTTATCATCTACATCACCGACGTGAACGACAACGTGCCGCAGTTCCAGAGGCTGCCGTACAGGGTGCAGGTGAACGAGGGCGCCGCGACGGGTACCCAGTTGCTCAGGGTGTACACCACAGACGCCGACGAGGGTTTGAACGGTGACGTGTTCTACTCGCTGGAGGATGGAAACCAACGGGGACGATTTGCCATCGACGAGGCGACGGGACAGATCTCTCTGATGAAGGAACTAGACCGCGAGACTACCGACGCGTACGTTCTGACGGTGGTGGCGCACGACGCCGGGCTGGAGACCCGTCTGTCGTCCAGCACGAGCGTCCACATCGAGGTGCTGGACGAGAACGATAACGTTCCGCGGTTCGTGGACAATAAATCAAGGATCGCCGTGCTGGAAACGACGCGGACGAACACGGAACTGGTCAGGTTCAAAGCCACGGATAACGATCTGGGACCCAACAGCGAGCTGGCGTTCGCTATATCCGCGGGCAACCGACGCGATACCTTCTACATCGATCCCTTGACGGGAACGTTATACTTGAGGAAACCGCTGGATTACGAGGAGCTGGAGAGATACGTGCTGAACGTGACTTGCAGCGACGGCGGTCATCCGCGTCTGAGCTCGGTGACGACGCTGATCGTCGAGGTGATCGACGCGAACGACAACCCGCCCGTGTTCCCGAACACGGCGATCGCCAGGCAGATCAGAGAGGGGATCCTGGTCCACACGCCTATAGTGACCATCACAGCGGAGGATCCCGACTCGAACGAGAACGGAATAGTAACCTACTCTATAGCTAGTCAAGATCCCGAGGATCAGGTGCGCAGATTCGGTATAAATCCATCGACGGGCGTGATCCACACGTTGTTGCCGATCGATCGCGAAGAGGTGGACACGTACAAGCTGGTGGTGGTGGCCACGGACAGCGCCCAACCACCCAGCGCCAGACTGTCCGCCGAGAAGCTGGTGATCGTGATCGTCGAGGACATCAACGACAACGCGCCGATTTTCGTCAGCATGTCGGCGGTGGTGCTGCCCCTGAAAGGAAATTACCAGTTTCAGAAAGAGATAACGGTCAGCCAGCTGCTAGCCAGGGACCTGGACTCGAGCACGAACGGTCTGGTTACCTACGAGCTGCTCAGATCGAGCGTCAACTACTCGGACATGTTTCGAATACACCGCAACACCGGCCACCTGACCATGAGGCTGCCGCGATCGTTCAAGAACAGTCTCGAGCGGGTGGCCAAGTACCAGGTAGACGTACGAGCCACCGACGAGGCCGTGCAGGCCGAACGACGCTCCACGGAGACATATCTGACCCTGATTGTGCCCGGCGAGGACGGTGACGATCAACCGATTTGGGAACACCGCGGTCAGATAGAAGGCAGCGTGTACGAGAACGAACCGATCGGCACGAGCATTTTGAGAGTGACCGCGCGCAGCCGTAGATCGAACATCGATCTCGAGTATTACGTGACGAACGTGACCGCTGGTAGCGGCGGCCCGCAGGTCGACAGATTGTTCGACGTCGACGCGAAGACGGGCGTGCTGTCGACGGCCGCCGCACTCGACAGGGAAACCGGGATCCAGTGGTACGAGGTGGAGCTGTACGCCATCGGTGTCGGCGGCACCAGGCCCAGTACGACGTCTACCAAAGTAAGTTCGCGTTTCTGATCGATCATTCCCGGGTGTAATTAATGGATACGCGTTACGAAAGTCATTCGATGCCTTTTATCCGGCACACGGTGGTCGAAACGCTCATTCTAGATAGGAGCAATTCCCCCTTAGGTATTTTAAGCTATTTGAAATCGCATTGGACTTACAAAAGCGCATTATCCTGGAGGTCACAGTTAGAAGTCTCACTCTGCATACCAGCATACCTGAAAGAATTTTAAATATAAGTGTATGTCAGATCATCTGATAGACTTTCATAGCCAAGCACGAACCCGTGGGACCTATCAACCGTAATTTAATTTGAAAATATCCTGTCGCGCCAGCACCGGATGCTGGATGGTTTCGAGCGTCCCGAGACCCGAAAACTCAATCGTCGTAAATAATAGCCGGGTCCACTTAACGTTCCGAACCGAAACTTCTCCCCTGGGATCGCTTTTTTCCCTCGAAGTCGTGGATCAAATATGATTACGAAGAGCGAACGCGAAATCAGCGAAGATTGGCGAGCAATGAAATTTACACGCGGCTCGTTTGTCACGAGCGGAACGCGTCGGAATGGATTTATTAATCCGCGGTTAGGACACGCGTTGCTTTCGCAGACTTCTCGTCTTACGGTGGCTCGTCCGTGCGGGAATCGCGTTGCGTAACAATGATCTTAAGGTAATTAGAGTCGGCGATAGGAGACGATGCAAACTTCGCGAATATGCCTTTCTCCGGCACTAGTTACAACCCATGGATCCATTTAAAAAATTCCATGGCTCCATTGTGAACGAAATTCAGGATATTACCTTTCCTCAGCGATTTTTCGTTGTAGAAAGTTGTTGCGTTTTTATATTTCTGAAAAATATTGCTCCATTTATAGTAAATATATTACTGTGAATTGGGTTGTTATGGGAGGATACATACCCTGAGTGGAAATACCAGAATTGCAACTGGGCCTACTAAAATAATACAAATTAGTCAGGGGCCTTATTTCCTCATGCTCAATAATTAAAAATAATAGAAATTAGTCAGGGGCCTTATTTCCTTATGCTCGATAATTAATATCAGCATCGAGGCACTATTTACCTTGGTCTGAAGCGAGTCCAGGAAAGCAAGGTGGCCACTTTCCTCAGAAGCATCCATCAAGGTGTATCTCTAGAGCATCCAGAGTCGATTCCCTTCCCATAGGACGTTTCTCACTGAAAATTAGCAGCAGAGGTCTCAGTACAAGTCTACATATGCACAGCTTGACCGACTACCCAATATCCAGTCGTCTAAATCGGGGCCTGATAGGGGCCCTACCGATGAGTCCCACCAACAGGCCCACTTTTCCACCTTCCTATGATCTTTCTCGCTTGCTACACCTAGCAGGGCACGTGTTACCACCCCTCCAGCCGGGGATGATCGGTGCAAAAGCGAAAGGGACGAGGGGGAATGGCGTTTGGAGGGAGACACAGATCTCCAGAGAGAGAGAGAGAGACGCGGGGGACCCGGGAGTGGGAGAGAATAAACGACAAGACGAACCGCGTGCCAGGAAATCAAGTTGGATTCGAGTCCGTGGCCGCCGCCGCCGCCGTTGCTGGCTCGCTGCCGGAGGTTCGGAACTCGAGAAAAACTTGATCTCGGATGAACGCATACAAACAGCCCGGGACCGTAGGTAAAAGTCGGTCCATCTCTACCCCCGTTGCGACTGCTGCTTCATTTCTGAAGATTCTCTCTCTGGATCCCTCTCCACCACCTCCTCGTCTACCTACCGCGAACCACCTTTTCGGGTCCTCCTTCGTCTCCTATCTCTCGTTTCTTCTTCCGCCTGTCCCCCTCCCCCTGGTCTTCGTCGTCTCGTCTGGGGCCCTTCAGCCTTTATCGTTCGCTGTGGGATCTGTGACTCTGTTCGGGAACCGACCGCGGTCCCGGAACGTTTTTGTCACGACCTCTCCTCTCTTTCTCTCTCCTCCCTGTCTGCTCTCGGGGACCGTCCCCCCCCCCCCCTCCTCCTCGTCTCACAGGGGTCTCTGTGCGCGTACCGCACCCCACCGACCCCCCTTCTTTTTCTTCGTTCGGCCATCGACTTCGTATGATCGGCTTTTTGCACGGGCCACGGGGATGAAAGCCCGAACGAGGGCCCCGAAACCGCGGAGGAGGGGACTATATTCGTACCGATGTCGTCTCGAATCGCCCGGCATTTTTGTTAAACCTTCCCCCGGCCCCCTTTCTCTCCCCCCTCCACGGTCAATTAGAACATTCCTCGAGCGGCGTAATTGTATTTGCATCGTGCCAGGCCCCGGGACTTTCCAGGGAAAAATTAACAGGCCCCCTCGACGTTCCACCGCGGCTGTCGTTCCGGGATTTTCGTCCCCCCCCGGTTGACGGTACTCGTTAGTACCCCGTCCCCCGTGTGTGAACAGCGCGATCTCGCCGGGGTTTCACGGAAACAACCCGAGAAACCCTCCTGCTCAGCCATCTTGGGCCCCCCTGTAATTGATTACATTGTGATTAGTCGCGTGCTTGATCACACAAAGTAATCGTGATAATCACGATCGTTAACCCCCCCCCCCCTCCAACGGTTACAACAAAATATATAAACAACTTTCCAAGCTCCGTGGAATTGTAACAAGTTTTTTGGGCCTCTTGGCCGGGTATTATTCAATTTTCTTCGTTAACGCATTTAATTACCAGCATTAAACTCTCGCGTCGGCAACTCGGCTGTTATTAACGCGATGCTGTAATAATTACAGTCGTGCGCGGCTAATGATACCAAAACAATTACTGTTAAATAATACAATGGTAAATTGGCTCGACCGTCTCACGTTCTCCGCCGAAGTTGCTGAAACCCCCCTAATGTATTCGACACTTTGTATAACCGTGCATCCACACTATCGCGTGGTTAATGTATAAATGCGTCTTCGGAAATACGTCGTACCGATAGAACGGAATGTATGCAGATTCCCCGCGCGTAGATCGGAATGCTCTCTGAAATTGAATGTAGGCAACTTGTTGTTGAGCAATGAGTCTTTCGCGGCTTGGTCATTTCGCCAGCCACCTGGTACGGAGGTTTCCTCACACATTTGCACGCTTTTTAAAATCGAATTACCCGTAAATGACCAAATAGAAGCGTGTGGAAATATTAAGACTGGACGTAAATTAATAGCGGTACTGTTCCGACGTAAATTTTAAAACGCACGCCGCGCTAACAAATTACGTAAATACACGTTTCGTGCCGCTGAGAGGCCTCGCTCTGGCTGCCATCGATGCGAAAACATTAACTATTGTCTTGGGGGATTTCTTCATGGTGACTCTTGCAATTAAATTCCTAAAATGAAGATAAACGTCAGAACAACTTATTATTCAAAATAATAGCGTGTACCTACCCACTTTCTAACGGAGGCTCCTCAAGCTTCGGTAACCGAATATCTCGGAAACCATTAGTTCCAGAATAGCCTCGAGATAAAATTTAAATACCCCGATGAGTAATCCTCCCACGCTTGGTGCCGTTAAAGCGGAACACCCTGTACAGAGAATTGGTAACCGGGATCCGGTAGGCAGCTTCGATCTCGCGTTGATCTCTGAAACGGTCGGGATTAAGTCGTCGGAACGGAGCAAACGCGTCTAACGTTCCCGATGAACACGTTCGACGAAAGAGCAACCGTCGAAAAGAAGTCGGTTTCAACGCGAACGCGATAATCTCGCGTGAAAGTGAAGGCGAGGGGGGAAAAAAACAGAGGAGAAAAAAAAAAGGAAAGAGACAACGGTGGAAACACGGATAAATAAAGTAAGTGGCGCGGCGTTTGATTTAAGAAAGTGGCTTTAACGTGATCTTGATGTATGGCGGCGCGCGAGCCACGGCACGGCGAACCCACACGTTCGCTCTGCAATGGGTGGGTCCGGGGCTCGCGCGAAATGTAGGCGTAATGTTTCCTTCGTGCCTGGATTTCTTTTTTTTTTTCCCCCCCTCTTTCTCCACGGGTTAGATAAATATATCTGGAGTAAAGCTCGTACGCCCGGCGAACTGGCGAACGGCGAACAGCGAACGCGGACGCGAGAATTTAATAATAGTCGATGATAATTATGTCGGTGCCCGATTAATAGCCCTCGTTTAACCGCGATAAACCGTCAATTAACTGCACCCTGATCTTTTTCTCTCCACCGGCGTCCTCTGGCAAATATCATGCCCGTGGAATCCAGAAACTCCATATTCATCGAGCTCAAACGCCTCACAGTGGGCCCAATTCCCATAATATGAACAACTTCTTCGATTTAACTAAAACCGTAGAGGTGGGGGTTTTCGAGGTCGCTTATTACGAATCAAAAGTCAAAATTTAAAAAAACAAAATGGCGGCTCCAATATAGCTCACTCAAATGCGAAAGAAATGATACATACTGGTTTCTGAGGTCTCCAACCGCTAATAATCAATTATATTTATCAAATAAAATAGCCCTGAAACATCTTACCCCAATTACATATACAATTGCTAAGTTTCAAACACCAAACTATCAAATTTCAGGTGATCCCTACATTTCCTGCGCATTTGCGTGAGCTCTATTGGAGCCGCCATTTTGTTTTTCCTAATTATGACTTTTGATTCGTAATCAGCGACCTCCAAAACCCCCGCCTCTACAGTTTTAGCTAAATCGAAGAACTCCTTCGGGGATTTTGGACCACTGGTCGCGTTGGAGCAAAGTCTGGCATTTATGATCCTCGCCCAGGGTTTATAAAATTCGTAATAAAATAACTCTGAAACATATTACGTTAATTACACATACAATTGCTAAGTTTCAAACACCAAACTATCAAATTTCAGGTGATCCCTACATTTCCTGCGCATTTGCGTGAGCTCCTTTGGAGCCGCCATTTTGTTTTTCCTAATTATGACTTTTGATTCGTAATCAGCGACCTCCAAAACCCCCGCCTCTACAGTTTTAGCTAAATCGAAGAACTCCTTCGGGGATTTGGGCCCACTGGTCGCGTTGGAGCAAAGTCTGGCATTTATGATCCTCGCTCAGGG